TTTTGGGACGGTTTATTTTTATATTTACATCGTTAAATATCGCGTTGGGTAATTCACAACTTAACAGGTCCCTGGGGATTCTTTCTCTTCTGGTAGCACTCCATCGAATTGTCGTGATCATGGTTTTTCTTTCCTACAGTATCCCCGTCTCAAGTTGCGGATTCAAAATATTCAAATCTTCTGCCATATTCTTTTGATTTTTAACGCTATAGGTTTTTTCAGTATAAAGGTGCCCCAATAATGTGACTATTATATCCTCCTTAATTATCACTGTTTCCAAAAAACATGTATTAATATATGTCACGTCATACGACACTTAGCATTCGAGCTGCTTTGCAAAAATGTATAGCATGCAACACGTTGATGAACTACTCAGTCTCACTCGTTTATCAGACACTCGCTTCGCTGGGTTCCGCGCGTGATCAATCAAACTCGTGACTAAAATTACCTTTAACAAACTTGTTGCACAAACAAATATTAAAGAAAACTTAGTCAATAGGTGTAGGGAAACCTTCACAAAAGTGATAGAGGGGCAATAGCCAAAACACTATAAATTAGTTAGTTTTAGAAAATATTTTTTTATTGCCACTCTTTTATGAAAAACCCTATATAATTGAGAAGATTTTTAAAATATTTGTCTTCTATTTGATTTTATGAAACAATTATTAAATAGTATGTTATGTAACAAGTGCGGTAAACGGCATTTGACTCACGAGTTTATTATTTGACACGAGCGGAGGGCGTGTTTAATAAACGAATACCTTAAAATGTTTACCTAACGGGTGGCACGGTATACATTTTCTACGACCGTTACTTTTTGGGTACATTTTCGCAAAACAACACGAATATATTCACTGACATAACCGTCAGAATTGACAAACGTCACAATTCAAGACGTGGGAAATATCTTCGAAAACATCCGATTGCTCCCCGACCCGTGCGGAAATGTCCGAAGTGACTCAGATCTGAGGGAAACTGAAGTGGTGAACTGACGCTTTCCGCACGTTACATTGGTGCTTAATTAAGTATTTTACAGACGGGAGTAGAAAAACATTTTTTCAAAATTGTAATAAATAGGTAGATATAAAATATTTGCTATACTATTCTACCAATCTGTATGTAGAGGCAACTTCTGAATGTTTTACAATTTGACTTTTCAAGATTTACCGACCGCCACCCAAAAATAAAAAAAAATCGAAACCCCTTTTTGTTTGGTATTTTGGGGATTTATTGCCAACTATTTAATTTTTACAATTAGCAAATAGTGCCACTATAGTTAAAATTCTGTGTTCTGTTGCTAACTAAGAGCTCTTATATCTTAACAGCTGACTTGGCATCAGACATCGACTAAGACTAAGTTTTACCAATATTTTAAATAATTGTTTTGAAATATTTCAATTTCGTGGGGCCAATATACCGCGGACTCTTGTCCCCATCCTCTGTTTTTCCATTTATAATAGTTGGGATTAAGGTTACATTGTCGCTAACACAAAATCTGGACATTCCCGACCAATATCATATAATATTGAAATGACTTTAAAGCACACGTAAATATCAATAAAAATGCCATCAATATTTACCGATCCAGTGAAAACCATACGGAGGTGGCGTTTCAACGAGCTATCATGCATTTGCACGGACGTAAATAATTGAAAGGATAATAGTGGCAAAGCGCTATTACTCGCTCTTAATAAACCCAACTCTGATTACAGGGACCGGACTGTGCTGTTCCACCCAACCGGAACTCCAACGTACATGTGGATGTTTACTCATTCACCACGTATTCGACGTTTTATAAAACAACTTCAGATTTAACGGCGACGCGGTTTAATTGATTTATGGATCTGCATATTAATAACGCGAGGAAAGATGCTGGTCAATAATCAATAAATTTATTATTTACATTGCCGTGTGTTGCTTAACGCGGGCGATAACTAAGTCCGTTCGAATTAATTATGTACCAGAATGACGCGTCAAAAATACATCACCATTTGAAATTGATTATTTAGAAATTTTTTCTCATAAGGTTTAAAGCGATTCGTAAAATACAAATTACGTGTCACTTGAGAAGTGAGATGAGCACAGTGTGGCGTGTCACGACGGCGAGTCGAATAAGCTTCTTGCATCTATCTAAAATATTAAAACTCCATAGTTTTCAACATTCTAGAAAACTTGGACGTCAGAGTATCCCTCGCGTCAGAACGCAGGGGTTTTTGATCATTTTAGAAATCCAAACTGTATGTTATCGAAGCGGGATCTTAACAATCGTTGGTACTGTTAAAATCAACTTATATTTTCGCAATTCTTTTTTAAACAAAATTTGATACTGTTTCAATATGACACAAGTCAATCTATAGCAATATAGCGTCCCTTGGTCATTTTTTTGATCTGGCAACAAGTTTTTGACAAGTTCCCTTTTGGTACTACAGTGGGTGAATTTTTTGAATAATTTGTACGTATTGCATTCGTCAAAATATTATGATACATACTACCTAGATTTTTACTTTAGAATAGTTTCATTGCACCTCATATAGGGTACTTAATTCCTTGCTGTGAAAGTCTTCCCACCTATCTGCAAAATAAATTACATAGAACTCAAAGCAAAGCAATAAAAACCATCTTTAAAATAAATAGTCTCACTTCACCAGAAATAGTGTATAAAACAACAAAAATATGAGACATAAAAAAATAGTGGCACTTGAACAAGCAAAATATGTGTATTTTATAAATAATAGACTGTTACAATGTAATACAAGTGATTTTAGAAATAATTTTTCAAAAACTCTTCATTCAGACAAATCTATACCAAAAGTAATTGATGAAGCAAAAACAATAAAACAATTTTCTTAGAACTTAAAGGTATATTTGCGGCGACTATTTACACTTTCTTCTTAAACTTAAAAAAACTTACATAAAATATCGAGCTTATTATATAATTTTATTGTAATTTTAATGTAATTGTAATTTTGATTGTAATCTAAGGTTCCGGTACCAGTTTGTAACACTGTTTTGGAGTCAGTTATAAATAAACAAACAAATAAATAAAACTTAAAACTGCAATTAACTAACAAAAAGTGTAAACCTGCCAAATCCACTTTTTAAACAATTTTTACTTGTTTGACATAGTTTTCTTTTTCTTTCTTCAATTCCGTAAAATCTTGTTAATAAACGAGTGACTGAAAAACATCATCAACGTATTGCGTACTATACATTTTCTACCATTCGGTTGGTATTTTTTTGCAAAACAGCACAAATACATTCAGAGTGACATGTAATGTGACCCAAAACCATGACTAAAACACTAGAAATGTTTTTGGAAACATCTGAAGTAACTTGTGACCGAGGGCATAACGAAACTAGCCTTAAAATGACACTTTCCGCATACTTGATCATATCATAATTAAATATTTTAGATTAAAATAACAAAAGTTAAATATACGTAAAAACGGACGTATCATTAAACTTAGATTTTTTAAATTTTCTAGAGTTTTTTACGAGAACCCAAAATTAGTCAGTAAAATTTATATTTTTCAAAAACATATTAAAGTCAGATTAATTTTAATAATCGTAAGTTTGAGTAAGTTTAATAAAAGGCAATTCGTTATATCCTATACAATTATTACAGTTAGTTACCAATATAAATAATTACCCTATTTCTCTATAAAGTCTACATAATCCAAAAATAAATCATAAAAATGGCTTAGGTTATGGGAAAATGTCAATATTGTTCTGCGTACAATCAAAATATATTTTACTTCTGTAGGTAAAACCACTAGTAACTATTAATTTGGACCATGGTAGTACAAACTTAAAGTGAATCAATCATAGGTCTTTTGCATACTGCATATTGTTTCGGAACCGATTTTGACATATCATATATATACTTTTCTATATTGTAACACACAAGCAGTTTAAACCGAGGTCAAAATAAAAACACATTCTACAATTTTGTAAAGTTGAAATCAGAAAATTGAATTTGATTTATATGCTAATGTAGGCAATATTGCAAGTATGAAATATTTTAAGAAATCTTTAACAATGGCTAATTTACGTCTAATTCAAACAGAATGTATCAACTATCTATTCTGAACAAAAAAATCTGAACATTTTTGTTCATTTTAAAAATTCGTGAGCATAAAAGTCACAATTTAATACAAATGTGACCAAAGTCTCACAAAAGAAATTGGTTTCCCTAACATCTTACGCAATGCTCCGCAGTCGGAGGCAAATGGCTTAATTTCTGATTCAATCATTTATATTAAATTATTGATTGATTATGGTTTTTTTATAGTCGGGCATTTTGGTAGTCCAAATAGGGACCCAAAAATTTTCTATTTTAGTGAAAATCATTCCTATTGCTAGTGATAACATATGATTTACTTTAAATTGAGAAAAAATTCAAAATATTTAGCATTAATATTCCTTTTTACAATTCATTATAAAAATGATCTCAAAATTAAAAATTACAAAGGTCTATTTTCGAAAGATGTTAGGCATGGCTAAGAGCAGGACTGCCTTTTAAAGGTTAGTGATGGTACTAAAGACAAACATAACAAATATTATCAAAGTTCAGTGTATGCTCTCCCTAAGGCTACACCGATCAATTTCCATAATTTTAAGTCAGTAACACATCATGCACTGTTGATACAACCCTTACCTGTGCTAATTATATTTATATCCACCTATCTCACCTCAAAAAACACCAAAAGTTGTCTAAAAGTCTAAACATGTGAACACTTAGAAACACGGCACTCAATACCTAATTAGAAAGTAGGTAGTCCCTGGTAACTTAAAAATAATCATGTTACAACCACTGATGTCATTTTTTATATTTAAATTTTTTGACATACTTCAACGCAAAAAGAAAATTCACAGTATTTGCATTTGTTCAAATAGTATCTTGTCTTCATTATAGTTCCAAGTACAGCATATATAATAATAATAAATAACATATAACCCAAAGGTGAAAATCTGTGGAGCTGAGGACACTAAAAAGGCAATTTATTTAAAAGTTTACTTTATTATTTAAATTAAGCAATAAATATAATCGATGCAATAAATAACATTCATTTTTACTGTATGATGAAACTGGATACACATTCTCATTAATTTACTGGAGTACCTACATGGCACATAAAAAAAATTACTGAGGTTTAAACTGGATAAAACTACATAAACACTTGTGCCAAAAGTGCAACCAAAAGGATATTACCCACATATTTATTGAATTTAATTATGTGCAAATGCGCAAATTAAAAGCTCACATTTTAGAACTTACTCAATATAATTCTTATTATTCACTGCACACTTAGAACCCTTGTATTATAACAAAAGAAGATCCAGCACAGCTTCATCTTTATATTTAATTGTCACAGTTACAAGGGCATTTCGAAATTAATATCCAATTTAGCATCCCTTGCTAGACTCACAATATTTGACAGTTTCACAGCCAGTCGTGCTGCTTCATCTAAATTATCGACTGGTAAAATTTTCAACCCCGAACTAGCTATCAATACTTTAGCGTCGTCAACGTTCGTTCCTTGCAACCTACATACTATGGGCATTCGAAGGCTCAGCTCCTTAGCTGCTGCGATGATACCTTCAGCAATTACATCACACCTCATAATACCACCAAATATGTTCACAAGAATAGCGTGCACCTAGGAGAGTTGAGGTTAATAGTACTAGCGTTTAAAAAATGGTACTATTTTACTTTAGGATCAGCGGTAATAATTTTAAAAGCTTCCTTCACTGCTTGAGCTGTAGCGCCTCCACCAACATCCAAAAAATTGGCAGGTGAACCACCGTGTAACGATATTATGTCCATGGTAGCCATGGCTAAACCGGCACCATTCACCATGCAGCCAATGTTGCCATCAAGAGCAATATAATTTAAATCAAACTGGAAAGATAAATAAATCAAATCTAATACAAAAAATTAATTAAGTAATTTTTAATAATTAGTCCCATACACCAAGCACTTGAAGTCCTTTTTATTTATTAATATTTTGCTAAATTTATAAGTACCATAGTTTTCTAGTGGAGCTGGTTAATTGTTACTTAATTAAGAAATTAAGGTGAAATTACCTTTGCTGCTGCAACTTCTTTTTCATCTTCCTGGGTCCAGTCTCTAAGTGCAAACAATTCCTTCTGTCTAAAAGCAGCATTATCATCAAATCGAAACTTTGCATCAAGAGAAAAATCTGAAATAGTAGAAAAATAAAAGAAATTAGCATGGCAACACTTGTTAAATGTTTACATTTCTCTCCAGCATCTTCAGCATAGGGATTAATTTCTATAAGTAAAGCATCCTTTTTCACAAATAAATCATACATTCTTAGTAGCATATCAGCAGTTTTTTCCTTTTGGGAGGCCAAACCCACTTTTTCTGCCACCTTCTCAGCTTGTTCTTTTGTGAGTCCCTTTATTATATCAATAGGTTCATATAGAATGGCATTTGGATTTTCTGCAGCCACTTCTTCAATATTAACTCCTCCTTGAGAAGATGCGATAATCACGGGACCCTGAAAATCATCCCTCAACAAGCAAAATCCTACTTTAAATCAATTTTAAAAGGGACTTAACCACCTACTCATTTAAAAAATATAGGTCCCTTAAATCGCTAGTTTTTTCAACATTTTTCAACAGTGAAAACTGTGCAAGTCAATGTCATTGCCCAGAATAGGGTACACTATGTTAGATAAGTGAAAATAATAACAAACTGTTCAGAGAGGGGGTAATTAGTTTTTAATAAACAAACTGTTTTTCTTAGAACCTGTCTATTATCTGGGTGCACTCTACTGTTTATATTACATTTAAAAAAATTAAGTCAATTACGTAACAAATTGGGCTAATAAATTAAGCAGTGCTAAACAATTTTAAATTTCAAAAATCACTTAAGGAGTGTATGATAAGTGAGATAAGGCAATCAGGAACATCAACAACAAATCTAATCATAATTTGTAATAAGCACATTTAATTATTTAAATCAATGAAAATCTATATCTTCACTTACAGAAAATGCTCTTTCCATCATTACAGCAAAGTAAAACTCTTTTCTAGGAAATTTACGTTCTGCAACCATTACTGCATTGCATATTCTGCCTTTTTCTCCTGTCTGTTTTGTTACCAAGTACTGTCCTAACATCTGGCCAGCAATATCTTCTGCTTCATCTGGACTAAATTATTATTATTAATTATTTAAAATTAATTTATTAAAATTGAATTTTATCATTAAAAGTGTGTAGGCACAATGGAATAAATTGAAGCTTTAAGGATATATATGAACAAAGTGGTAAATTAATAACATACTTACGAATAAACCATACGTACACCCCCTTTTAAACCATTCTTAAATGAGCCTTTCCCTCGACCACCTGCAAGTACTTGGGCTTTTAGCACTAAATCTTTGGTGTTTAATCTTTCAGCAATTTCTCTCGCTTCCTTTTTGGTTTTTGCAACCCCAAACTGGGGAACAGTAATTCCAGCATCATTTAATAAGGTATAACTGATATGTTCATGCACATTTAAATGTCTAACTTGCTGTTGCTTTGGCTGCCACTGCCCGTTGGCAGTAGAACCAAAAATCTAAAAATAAGTTACCATTTAAAACTTCTTAATAATCTTCTACCTTCAAGGTTGTTGAGTCTACGCTAGAAATTATATAACAAAAATGGGCATAATTACTTTCGCTCCATTTTTTAAAAAAGCGGCTTCGCAAAGCACAGCCGTTCTCAACATTATTTTAACTTATTTATAACAGAATAACGAACGCCAAAGTACAATTTTGATGAATAGGTTTAAAGGTTAACTAAAGTGACATGACAATCATGACATACGACGTCCTTTCGATTTTTTTCTTTTATGGCGTATTACCCAATCGCTTATGTTATCACAGTAACACAATTGGTATTACTTTCTACAAAACGGAGTGTAACCCTATAAAAAAACCATCAAAATTTATAGACTAAACCAATTGTTTTTATATGTCTATGAACAGAAAAGCAAAATAGAAAACAAAAATATCGATACAGCCAGTATCATAACACTTCTATCTTAAAGTGTTTGAAATTGAAAAATCATAGTTCATTGCTGCTATTTATAATAACAATTTTCTACGAAAAGTAAAAGAAGAAAAAGAAGATGGTTTGGCTTTGGCACATTTCTTACTTATAACCTATAAAACAAACAAATTTTGAAATGTAAATTTAAAGCTATTATTATTGAGAATGCCAGGCGATCTAACAACAGTACAAAATGAAGAGAGTTTCTACAAAAATGGAGAAAATTATTGGTCAGAAGTACCTGCTACCGTAGATGGAATGCTTGGCGGATTTGGGCATATATCAGGCACAGATATCCAGGGGTCAAAAACTTTGCTAAGACAGATTTTCAGTTCCAACAACTCGCCCGGGCGAACGGCAGCGTTAGATTGTGGCGCCGGTATAGGAAGAATTACGAAATTTTTACTTTGTCCATTTTTTGACAAAGTTGATATGGTAGAGCAAAATGCTGCATTTCTCAAGCAAGCCCAAGATTATCTTGGACCACATCTTTATTCAGAGAAAATTGATAAGATATATTCGACCGCTTTGCAATATTTTGAGCCTGATTTTGAAAAGTATGATGTGATTTGGATCCAGTGGGTTCTGGGACATTTAACAGATGATGATTTTGTTATTTTCCTAAAAAAATGTAGGTGTGTATTAGACTACCATTGTAGTTTCTAATTTTTTTCTAATTTTCCCGTTCGCAGAAATGGACTCAAGAGAAATGGAGTTATTGTTGTTAAGGAGAATATTACTTCCAGTGATCAAGTTGATGTAGATGAAAAAGATTCATCAGTGACCCGACCACTTTCTCTGTTGAAACTATTATTTATTAAAGCAAATTTAGAATGTTCCAGATTGCAGAAACAAATTCATTTTCCCAAAGGTTTGTATAATGTTTATATGTTTGTGTTGAAACCCAAATCTGCAGATGGCAACCCAATCCGCAATATAACAAAAGAATAACATAACATAATTTCAAGTAGTGCTGTTGCTAAGTAATAAAATAATTTCATTAAATAAATTGTTTTTGTACCTGTGAATCTACATGAAGGTATTTAATAGAATTTTAAATTATTTGTATACAAATTTCAAACCATTCTTTGAAATCTGATTGATTCTAAATATTTATTAAGATTTGGCACACATACATAATTAATCTAAGTTTTTTGATACTACATAAATGGTTCATAACGATATCTACAGTATCGATAAATATTTGTTCCAGAGAGAATAGATACATATACAATCTAATGGCACATAAAAGCAAATAAATACCTAATATTATGATTACAAATATCACAACCAATTTATCTCATAATTCATCACTAAATTTGTGTATATTATACAAATGATCCCCATAATCTGTGGCTTCGCTACCAACAAATACATCATGATGATCAAGTATTTCCTGGAAACTTAATATTCCATCAACATCATCATCGCTATGTGCAAATAAGTGATCGACCTCTTCATCAGCTATTTCGCTAAAATGAAATAAATATTGAATAATTCAAAATTTAATAAGAAATACAAGACAAAAATTAAAAATTGTGCAATTTACTCATTACTAGGGACTATCCAAGATAAAATTTCACTTCCAAACAATTTTCCATCCCCATCCTTGTCATATTCATCAAACTTAACCTTTTCAGCCTGTAAAGCTTCTTTACTGAGATCATTTCCTCTTTCTGCAATGTACTCCTAAAATCAGGTAGTAAGTGTGAAAACAATCAACTTCAATCTACCTCCCCTACTTGAAAAGTGATAACTTTGTCTCCATCTTTATCTTTGGATTTTAATGTCTGCTCTAAAATCAGTGGAATCATATCAGGATGCTCTTCCGGATTTGAAAATGCTATCCACTCTTGAGAATCAAGGAGATTATCATTGTTCTTGTCAGCTGCCTTCCATAGTTCCTTATCTTCTGTAATAAGCTATAAGATGTATTATTTAAATAACTGTTTTTGCTCTTAAAGAAATATCATACATCTGAACTTTCCCCATGCATATTTATTGATTCTGCATCTTCCCCTGCCCCGTAAGTATCAGATACATATTCAGTCCAAGTAACCACACCATCATTATTTTCATCTGCATCTTCTAACCTTTCTATGGCTTCTTCTTCTGACAACATTCTGAAAATAGTAAGTGATGAAACCAAAGAAAATTCTGGTAATAACATTTTAAAAAATTATCAGAAAATAGATCAATTTGGTGAAAAATGAATATTTACTTACTTAAAAGACCTTAATATCCAAGCCTTTAATTCCTTCTTGTCTATTAATCCATCATGGGTTAAATCCATTTTTGAAAGTAATATTTTCAATTTCTTTTTGGCTTCTTCTGGTGGTAGGTGATCATATTCTCCAGCTTCTTTATAGCTTCCTAAAATTGCTTCATGATCGAATTCACTGTGATGTTCGCCAGCTTCGTTATAATGTTCCTTGTTACGTCTTATGTAAGCCCCATCAACTTCTCTTTCTTTATTATTTTCGTGCATGTGACTATGCATAACCCCAGCATCCCCATTGCTTAAGAAAATTAAAAAAAGATATATTAAAAAATATTTTTTTTGTAAAGGTGTTTCAAACATTGTTGTAAAATATTTTGCGTCAGATAAATACGTATCTCTTAAATCAGAGATTAGTGGTTTAGCAGCTTTATATTATTAATTTTATATTCTAAAAATATTCAAAACTGTTTGTATTGCCGTCACTGACAGATCAAAAATAGGTTATTGCACAGAATACTAAGATTGTTCATTACCAAGTGTGAACCAAAAAAAAAATTCCTCCGTTCGACACTGATCATAGAGCCGACGACGTCACAGTAACAGTTGAAAATGAAGTGATAAAAAAAATGCAGTCTTTAGTCATATTAAGCGTAAACAACTGCTTTTGAAATGAGCGTATAGTTTGGACCGGTTTACTGTCGCAGACGATTAGCACAAATTCAACGGAGTAATGATGGACGAACCGTCAATTCGCCTTAGTAAAAGAAAAAGTGATTGGAGTCATCTTTTCACGATCTAGCACTGATGTAAAGAGCGTGAAGACCGTCTTAAGATTTTCTTTTCAAGCGATCAAGTCATGAGTTCGATTTATGGGGTCTTAACGACATTCTCAGCCTAGTCTTAAATTCCACATCGCGTGAGGTCGTTACGTGGGAGTGTTTTCTTGTTTTGGGTTAGTTTTATTTTTATGTTTAATATAAATATATATTGCAATATAAATTATCGCCATTAATACGAGAAAATCATGTTCCAGGTATTGCGCTTCAACCACTCTTCGTTTTTATCACTGTAACGATTTCTGCTTTTAAATGAGTTCATCCACCATCAACGCGGTCTTTTTTTTCTGCGCATCCTCTGCAAATACGATACTTGTTACTAAAGCAGTCTTTTTTAAATTTAAGCACTTGCCGTTATTCAGCCTTAGGTGCACAAGTAGCATAAACCTACAAGCAGTTTAACAAACCTAAATAAGTCTTTTTAGCCAGACTCACCTTTAGGCACACACACGCCAGGTATTAGTTTTAATAAAATAAAATTCTCAAAAAGTCAAATTTATATTACATGTATGAGAATATACATCTCAAAGGTCAAAGGTTACACTTTTTGTATTATTTTTAATATCATTCAGCAAAGCTGTCTCAAAACTCTGCAAATTTTTATTGACTTTAGCATACAATAAACTTAAATTATCGTTTTCTACTGGTTTTAAATTTGATAAAAGTTGGTAAATTTGGTTCATTGAAGTAACAACTTCAGTTTTAGTCAATTTTCTAACTATTTTTCTTTCCTCCCAAATTAGAATCCCACTGAAGTCATCAAAATTTGCATATTCTTTAAAATTTAATGTCGAAAGAGGCAATTTTGTTTCTCGATTTGATGAAGAATCAATAATTTGTAAAGAATCTAAATTCAATACGCACACCAGCCCATTAAGGGTACACCAGTTTTTAATATTTAATAAGTTACTTTCATAGACCCTATTCTCTTCTATTAAAACATTTTCTAGTTTTTCAAGAAAGTTGGATTTATATGGTGAAACACTAATATTGTCATCAAGACTTTGAAATATTCTAAACTTCGATTCTAATTCCGCCTTGTGTTTTTCAGCTTCTGCTAACTCTTCCATTTGTAACCTTTTTGAATCCTTAAATCTTTGTTCCCAACTCTTTTGCGCTTCTACTAATTTATTTTCAGTTTCTAACAGTTTTTCCTTTAGCTGTTCAAGCTGACTTTCATTGCTATCATTGCAACTCATGGATGTTGCTACTGAATTTTGTTCAAAATCTTCTCTTAATCTTTTAACTTCGGATCGTAATTCCCTTACAAGGCGATCATGTGGACTTTCATTGATTCTCGCTCTATTAATAATAGAACGAGCCTGGCATGCATATCTTAGGGTCGATAAGGTTTCTTCCAGTTGTGTGCTAGCTGGAGATATAGTCGCTAACATTGAAGTTAATGAATTTCCACCCAAACTTTCCTGAAATGTTTTATTTAAGAACTCCGAAAGTTCTAGCAATTATTAAACACTTACCTTTAAGAGCCAAGTTAAAACAGACTCTCGATAAGGTACAAATTGGTTTTTTCTTTGATCTGCTAAAGTAGAAATAACCTTCCCTAAAGTAAGCAAGGATTTATTTATGAACATTCCTTCTTTTATTTGATCCTCCTTCTTGTGAGATGAACTCAATCTTTCACTACCTGCCAAATCTACTAAGTTGACTTTGCTTCTTCTACCTGTATTGCTTTCATTTAAGCCGTTGGATAAGCAGAGTTCAATTGAACATATACTGTGAGATCGAGATGATTTTTCATTCATCAAAGTTGCTGCTGTTGCTCTATTCCTGTTGCCTAATATTAAGAAGTTACGAAGTTCTTCATATGACTTGACGATATGGGTACTTAAATCAACAACATAAGGCCCCCAAACTGGATGTTCCCGTACTTTTAATGGGGTAGGGGTAAAGTTGGCATTAGTAGACAGCAAATCATGTATTTTCTCATTGTATATTTGAAAATAACTCACTTCAACACTTGCATTGCTATTTTTCAGTTCAGAAATTCTCTTAAACAATTCCCGGCAAAATCGAGGAGTAATTCCTGAATACACTTCAGATTCTATATCCTCTATTTCACACATACTTTTGCCCATCATACTAAAACTTTTTCCAGAACCTGTCTGTCCATAGGCTAACAAACAGGCATTGAATCCCTGAAAGGCATTATTCAGTAACGGTACACCAATTGTTAAAAAAACGTCTTCTTGATTTGCATAAACAGAATCATTCTCATGCACTGACCAGAATACATGGTCGTAATTGAAAACATAGTCCGTAATTACATGCTGATTTTTCATTGATGAAATAATCAACTCCTGATTTTTCACTTTTACGATATTTTCAACTCCTGCGATACTTGACTCATGTAAATTCATAGGTCTTATTCTAACAGCTACTATTAAGTTGCTAACTTCATCTACTTTTTCCTTACTCCGAGCTCTTTTATTAGGCGTTTCTAATATCACTTTGCTAAAGCAATCTGGAGTATCAACAGAATTATGCGACTTTTTTAAATTTCGTAAAGCTTTGCTGTTGCTTTTTGGAGTAGCATAATTTGAATTAAATCCAACAGGAGATGGATCTTCTGGTGTTGAAAACATCTGTACTGGGTTGCTATTTTAGGTGTTGATAGGGCTGATAACGAAATTTTGATTTTAGTCACCGCCTTCGTTTATTAATTATTAGAACTAAAGGGTAATATTTTCAAATTAACGTCTGAATCAACAAATCGAATTTTAGAACCGCTGAACATGCTCTTCTTCTACTATTTAACTCAGAAAAATCGACCAAATATATAGGGACCGTTCGTCCATTGCTGATACGTAGAAGATTTTTCGCAATACATGGCCGGGGGACCGAGAATGGCTAATTTGTCATGAACCCAATTAAGCGCATATTTAAAGAAACACATAGCAAACAATTATTATGAGTTGTTGTACCAACGTTAAGGCTAAACCAAGTTTTAAAAAAGGTTAAAAAATAAAATAGTTAAGATTTTAGATGTTGCATCCAGCTTGTTTTCAATTTTGAGGTTTAGTAAAACGAAAGTTTTCATGGAAAATCTAAGGAATTTTCATCTGATTTTATGTGGCAAATGGGTGAATTCTAACCTAACAGTAAATAAGAAATAAAACCATGTCCACTGATTTAAGTTTTACTCCAAAAAGACAAAGATCATCAGATTAATTTTATAAATGCTGTCAAGTCTCTTTTAATTGAAATTGTGCCTGTCTAAAAAATAGAAACATGGAAACAGAATTTCCTACGTTCGAGACCTCCAATGTTATGAAAAATGTATGAGACGGATTGAAAAACCGAGTTTTACGTTAAACGTAGATTAAAGCATGTTAGTGCAACACCCTATGAAAGTTCTAATGTAGAATTGATTGTAACAAATAAAGAAAATTTTCTTAACGTTGTCAACAATAAGCATTTGACTCTAACAGGTATGTTTTATTGCAATAAAGCCAATAGAAGAAAAAGAGAATTCTTGGACGAAAATTAAATTTGTTTGACTTTGAACCTTTAGATTGTCAAAACATACAAATTGTGTGATCTATGGTTTTGTTTTTGCAGTTGTGGTGTCATGATAATATCCCGATTTTATTGTATACAAATTTAGTACGTATTGTTAGAACTTTTAGTTTCAAGATTCAAAAGAATGCCCCCGAAACATCGAAGATCTTGTCCAATAGTGGTTGGAACAGTATCGACACGATCGACACGAAGGGAGAGTATTGTCAATATTGAGATTCTCCCAAAAGGTAATAAGTCAACCAAGAAATCTAACAAGAAGTCTCCCATAGAAACAGATATTGCAATGTCGGAAAACAAAATCGAAGAAAAAGTTAGTAAAAATAAAGAAATATTGGAAATTTTAAAAGATTGGTCAGATGATGATAGCAGCCAAGAAATGCAAAGATTTTCAACAGATGAATCTTCTAATGTTTTGGAAATATTTAATGATAATGACATTAACAATTTTTCGTCAGTTGACGATAAACAATCACTTATTGATATTTTGGAAGGCAATCAGTCAATTGCAAATGTAAAAAATCGATACTTGCAAAGTAAATCAGATAACTATCATATCGGGGATCCTGTTATTGAAGGAGAAAATTCTAATGACCAAGAAGGACTCATAATAGAGGAATGTATTGTAGATGATGAAAGTGTTATAATTGAAATGCCAGAGGGAGAGTTATTGGTTGAAGAAATGCAAAGTGGAATTGAGAAAAATAATATTGCCGATGAAGATACATTAAAGAGTGTGGGAGCCATCACAGAAAACAATTTTATTAAATCTGTAGAAGCTGTGCATAAAGAGGTAGAAGTTTTGCCAGTTCCTAATACTACCATGGATACAGGTAATTAAAGACTTTGTTCCTGGTAAGGATTTTGCACCAATTTAGAAATAGTATTGAACTAATTTGAGATTGTCCAATTGTGCATATCTGATTAGAAATCAATTTTTGTTTACCACCCCACCAGCCCCATTACACAATAATTTAAATCAAAGTTTTAAAACAAATATGATACATACCTAGACACAGAGCTTTTAATTGAATTGAATTGTAATCAATAATTTTAGATTTTTTTTCTACTCATTTTAACTTCGAGGAGAAGTCAGGCCTATATTCATATGAACTGTTTTTTCTTATTTTAACTGAGGTACATGCTCCTGAGTTGAGCTCGTATATGAATCACCCTCGGAATAGAATCAATCAATGCACTAGTTGTTCCATTCCAATAACAAGTAAGTCAACATTTGTGCATAATTTCAATGTTATTATACTTGCTTATGTACTGCCCCCCACACAGTTATCCCGTACCGTAAAAGAGATTCCAGCGGTGCTTGATAAACTATAAACATTAGGGACAAAATGTTTGTTAGGCATGGTCTGCATCAAGATCGACACGAGAACAAATATTGATATCTTTCTTACAAAAATTATGCAGTATATGCTAATAGGTGGAGCAAGTATGAAAAAAAAAATTAAATATAAAAACGCAGTTTTTTGAATAAGTGTGAAAAACGGTTGTTTAAAATATCATATTTTTAGATCAACAATGAGTTTGTTTTTTGTGGACAAGTAACATCTTTCTTATTTTAAAAGGATCGCCCTATATATTAAGACATTTTTGAATTTCATATATGATATATATCCTTACCGTTTGTGAGTTTTGAGTCGAAACTGACATTTGCAAGTCTAAATATATTGTTTTCTATTTGGGATTGACATACCTATAGGCTTCTTTAATAACTTCAATAACTAACAAAAAAATATATATAAATTTATACCAACACTTTGGAGAATTTTGCATATTTCAAAACGTTATAGATTTCGAAATATTAGCTACAAAAGCTATCAAAACTAACCAAAACTAAAAAGGTAGTCAAATAATAAGTTACTAGTGTGCATCTTTAATGGTTGTCAAGATACTTGGACACGACATCTGTAAAATTATTACTCTCATTATTAACTTTTCGCAATTTGCTTCCTCAATTCCGAAGTCATTTCTAACTAAATATTATTACATTTAACTGTAATATTATTAAAAAATATATTCAAAACTAAAACACGGTTGCTGTTACGCATCACTTTCTACCGCATTTTTTATTGGTCAACACAACGAAGTCATCAGCGGTCACCTAGTATGGTGTGAGATATATTTGGGATTTGGCAGTGATTTCGAAGGAATCCGGAGTGATTTCGCAGATTGCGCGCTATTTGGTACGATTGCGCACTATTTGGTACGATTGCGCAGTGATTTCGCAGATTTTTTTTATCTCCAAGATTGCGCACACAGTGGTTAAGCCATCAGATATACCACACACCACACAGATTTTTATGTAATATGAAAGAGTAAAATTAATAACTTGACACCAATTACCGACATTGTTCAACTACATCTCCAATGTACGAATAATTTAAATGAAGTTATTTTTGTTTTTGTAATTTTCGCTAAAACCAAATTTAGTTGGACCAAAAAAGTGATACACAGTAAATGCGATATGGATTCTGTTATCGCTATGTTTAATTGGTTTTGTATTACAACTTAATGAAGTTTAAATTTAAGAAGTGGCCACAGTTCACATTCTATTTTTATTTTTAGAAATAATGGATATTAGTAAACCTGTAAGTGAAACCAATATAGGTGGTTTGACTCCAGAAGAACAAGTTATTGGAGATGAAACTGGAACCCAAGTTGCCAGGAGTCCAATAATTATTGAGCCTACAAACTTGGTAGATGAATATATGGAAGTAATTGAAGAAACTGTTGTTGATTATTCTGAAGACATATCAGTCCAAAGTGATTCCTATATTACTGAAGAAGTCACTGATGATAATAAATCAGCAACGTCAGATGAAAGTTCTCAGAGTATGGAAACAGTGGGTGATGATGACAATTCATCTGAGAATATTAGCATACCAATTTTAGAAAACAATCCCACCATTATTAAATTAGAAAACGAAATTCTCTTAAAGTCTGAACATATCGTGTCAGAACCTGTTGTCATGCAAATGGATAGTTCTAAAACAGAAAATGATGAAATTTCAATGCTAAATGCCAATATCCAAGTTCAATTGAACATATCCAATGAGAATAGAGAAAGTAGAAATGAAACAGTAGAGGTTAATGGAGCAACATGCTCAAATAAAAATTTATTGTCTAAGATGCCAGGAGTTATAGAACCTGAGAGGTCACCAATAGAAACAATTCAGTGCAGTGAAAATCAAAATGGTAGTAACTACACCAACACTACCAAAAGTGCCAGCCATACTCAAAATGATGTTTCTGAAGTGAAAGTTGATAACACTGAAATGAAAATGGGGTTGGATCCTAACCACATTAATGAAAGTGTTACTAAAGATGCAAACACAAATGACAGTAATGAGTATATGACAGATACTGTTGGTAAAAGTATTATTGTTAATAATGAGGATAATACTGCAACTATGGGTGATAATGATACAAATGATAATATTGATATTGGTAATAATGATAATAGCAGTAATAGTGATACTCTACATGAACATGTTAATGGTAGTAATGAGTATGTTTCTAGTACTATGGGTGAAAATGTGAAATCAGATGTTACTGGCAATGTTGGTGAAAATAGGAATAATAATAATACTGAAGACCTCAGTAAGGCCATGACCACCAATGCTGAGGTTAATTTTGATGCTACTATTCAAAGTGCAGAGTCTATAATCACAGATAGTAATATGGAAATAGATGAAAAATATGAGAATAAAAATGATGCAATGAGTGCCGTTTTAGGCGAGCAATATATAAAAAATGAAACCTTGGATAGCAGTATGGATGTAAAGGAGGAAATTCCTAAAGGTAAAAAGGCTCCAGTCAAAGGGAAAAAAACAAATCAAAGTAACACAGACCAGATTAACAAAAGTCGATCAAGAAGGAGTGGACGTAAAAAGGACTCACAATTGACAAAAGCTGCGGATGAGTCAATAATTATTCTTGAATCGGATTCTACAGAAGTACCAAGCACTCCAAAAGTTCAATCCTCTGTTGAAAAATTGCAGCAGAAATCAAACAAATTCACCAAAAAATCAAGAGAGTCTAAGCCTGTTGATGCAAAAAAAGGCAAAAGTAAAATATCATTTGAGGGTAGTGAAAGTTTTGATGAAGTTAGAAGATCAAATAGAATTAAATCAATAAGTAGAATGAAAAAAAGATCAACTCATGGCCTTGTAAAATCGAAATCTGATTCATTGCTTAGTGAAGGTGACATTTCAGATAATAATGAATCGGAAAAAATGACACCAATAGCTTCACCTAAAACTTCCGGGAAAGATAAACCAAAGCTGACTTCTAAATTGAAGGACAGTTCTATACAAAGTGAAAACAAAACTAATCCAGCGGAACAAGTGGAGATTAAACCGCAGCGAGCGATTCCATCCAAAGACGAAGAAATTAAAGAACGTCTGAAAGGTTTTGTTCATTTGAAGGAAAACTTTTACAAAACCGACCGACAAGTATGTAAAGAGGCGAAGGAAATGGCCTGCGATTGTTATTTGGCTGAGCAGGATATTCAGAATGGTGAATTTGGCTGTGGCGATGATTGTCTGAATAGACTGTTGATGATTGAGTGTGGTGATTTGTGCCAAGTGGGACAGAGATGCACCAATAAGAGATTTCAAAAGGGGCAATTTGCGCCTGTGGAAGTTTTCAAAACTGAGAAAAAAGGGTTAGGATTGAGAGCTGCTGCTAATATTCCCTATGGCGAATTTATTTTGGAATATGTCGGGGAGGTACTAGATCCAGATGAATTTGACAAAAGAGCAGAAGTGTATTCTGAAGATAAAAATATCCACCACTACTTCATGTCCTTAAGAGCCGATGCAATTATAGACGCAACCGTGAAAGGTAAAATTTGCAAAAGCTTGGATAAGATAGATCCTTTTTTCATTTTTTTTTGTTTTTTAAGGAAATATTTCACGATTTATTAATCATTCTTGTGATCCAAATGCGGAGACCCAAAAGTGGACGGTCAATGGGGAGCTTCGAATTGGCTTTTTCAGTACTCGTACTATCCTAGCTGGAGAGGAAGTTACATTTGACTATAGATTTCAACGTTATGGGTGAGCATACAGCATAACAGTGTTATGTTTATCTTATTGTCATATTATATACATTTTTACTTAAAAGTTTATGTTTCTAACTCAAAGCGGGCAAAACGGTCAGAACTTGTAAGAATATAAAGAAAATGATGCTCTTCTTTATGTTGTTGGATTTGTTCATGAGTTGATTTCTATTTTCACTTTTCAATTCTATTTAATATTAAAAACACAATACAATTCGATTATAAAAAGTTAAAGGAAAATACGTTCTCAATATTTTTATATCAATAATAAATTTAGACTTTGTGGGTTAAATACTGGTACTGGTTTAAGTCTTTTGTTTTCGTACTTGGAGCATTTGAGCAGTAATGTCAAAACATCTCTTCAGTTAGATACCCTAAAAGACAAACTAACCAAAAGTGGACACCCTGTTCATGTCTAACTAAAACGATAGTGGATGACAAAGTTAAAAAACAAAAATTTTTAGGCGAGAGGCGCAGAAGTGTTATTGTGAAGCAGCCGCATGTCGCGGATGGTTGGGAGAACGACCCGACGAATCCGAAGAGGAAGATGAAGACGAGGAAGCGGACAAAGAGGATATTAGAATTGTCGGCGGTGAAAAAGATGCTGGTAAAGACCTGAAGCGAGACAGTCATACGAAAAACTTATTGGTGGCAGGCGAAAAGGATGCAGAGAAAGAATCCAAATTTTCAGAAACTCATCAAAATAGGAAAGACGTTGAATCCCCTTCCATCGGAAAATTTGTGACAACCTCAAAACCTGCGAAGAGGAAACCTCGTAAGGAAATTTTGGAGGACCTAGATGTAAGCATCATATTGTGACCTCATTCGATTTTTATATTTAATTTTTTCTCTCGCAGCTAAATGAAGAAATAGAGATGCTGATTACGACGGGCCTTAAAAATCAAGCGCACACATTGAAACTCAGCAGGTTGATGGTGCGTGCTAAGGAACCAGAGCAGAGGAAGAAACTTTTGCACATTCTGCGCAGAGGTGAATTGCCTTGCCGTCGACTGTTCTTGGACTATCATGGATTGAGATTAATGCACGGTTATATGATCGACGCTGAACAGCTGGCAATTGCTGATAGGAAGTTTGTGTCCGCAAAATTGGAGCTTCTTCAAACCTTGGCTGTGTTACCAATCCAAAATAAAACCATGTTAATTGAAAGCAAAGTTCTGCCTGCAGTTGAAAAAATGAGCATGTACAATGTTTCCACTTCAAAGAGGGAAGAAAAGGCTGATCATAAGGAAATTGCAGATAAGGAAGAGGAAATAAAATTTTTGGCAAAAAAATTGTTGGAGGAATGGTAATTTTTTTCTTTATCATAGATTTTTAGTCAGTTGCTATATCTGCTAAAGACATTTAATAATTTTACATATTTTTGTAATTGATAAATAAAAAATAGGTATAGGAAAACAACAACAGAGTATCATTAGTTAAAAATTTGTCAAGTTGGAAAACATCCTGTATGAAATAACTACTAATAAAAAAAAATGTTTTTTTCCCAATAAGTTGGCAAGGTGGCATTGAAATTTAAAATCGTAGGATGAAAAAATATGAGAATGTAGAAAACATTTTTCAAGATATTGATAACAACGGAGCTATTGTATTTATTATAGAATGTTTTCAACACCATCAATTATTTTAGGGCAAACTTGAAAGAAAGTTTTCGCATTCCAAAGAAGGAGAGAATTGAACAAATGAAAGAGCACGAGAAGGAAGCCAATCGTAAATTTATGGCGAGCAGCTACTCGCAAGAGCAAGAATCCTCAAGAAAAAGCGACCACCGGTACAGAACCTGGTCACGATACAAAAGCGAACGCGAATCAAGCAGCAAAAAAAGTACTCGTTTGGAGGACAGAGACAAACCTTCCGCGGCTTTTTTAAAAATCAGCAAACATGAAAGACGAAAATTGTTTGCTTTGCAAATGGAATTAAAGGAGGAGGAGAGGAGACTAAAACAGCGGGAGATGTGGAGGCAGCACGAAATGAATTGTATGATCATTGGGACAGATCCAAGGTTTACGGCGCCATTCGATCCTAATAAAGGATTTCAGTATATATGGAGTCCTAGTATCGGCCAATGGCAAGCTTTGCCTGTTTCGACCAGTCAGGGTCAGGGTATTTTTCCCGCCGCCACCACTCAAAGTAAGTGCTTTTGAATTACATGACAATTATGATGATTCACTTAGGTATAACTTATAGTGATTGTTTGCATACCTGTATCATTCCTATTTTTTGATATATGAGTTTCTATGGTTGAACACCCGTGGTTTATTTTTAATTCATTTTGTACACAATGTAAATTCAATAATTTATCTTTTATTTTCTTTTCTTGTGTAACGAAGTACTGGCGCATATACGGGAGGAGGAGTTAAGCGGTTGGACGGGTACTTATTTTTGAATTACGACTGACCATTCTTAAAATGTGTTTCAAGTTCTACTACCAAGCTTACGAAGCGCTTGCGTTTCAAGCTCATGTCCTTAAAGCTTAATTGGGTTATTGGCTGGAAAGCAGTTCAGATGTCATGTGCCCTGTAAGCCTCTTCTACTCTGAGTTGCTAGTTAAGTGACCGAAAGATATGGAAAATTCTATCTCTAGGAATAAAATTGGAGACTTGAAATGTTTTCTTTTTGAGAACATTCTGTGGGTATTATATTACTTTTTGTTTTGCAGTCCCTGTTCCTGCTATGAATGTGCCGCCGCCACAAAGGCCCCCTCTTTTAGCTACCTATTCTTCGCCTTTGATAAACAACATTACGGGACTACCTAGCTCATCTACACCACTCTCAGGTTTGCAAATTTTTTAAAAACAAATTATGTAGGCTAATTAATAATATAATTCCCAGGCATTAATCTGCCCTCACTGCCGGTGGCTAGTGATGTCACACAACAAACAGTAAGTTGATTTTACTTGTTAATTTATTTTTATTCCAACCCCATGAGCCCATTAAGTTTTAGGATAAGTTTTAACTCTAAGAATATCTTGGACTGAGGTGGGTTTTACTTGATGAAAATCCATTTAATACAATTAAATTAGAACAAAAAAATGTTCAGATTTTTACAGTTATTTAATGATTTATGGCAGCTGTTTCGGCAACACGTGTCTTTATCAAATTCAAAATATGACAATATTCCAGCACCTATGTATATAAACAGCTAGTAATAGAATTTTAATTTCCGTTATTTGCTCATTAAGTAATAGATAGAAATATCTCATCTTGTTAATCTTCATAAATTTAGTTTTTTGGTTTTTGATTGATTATGTAAAATATCAAAATTATCGTCAAACTTGTGCATTTCTGAATTTACGTGAATGACATAGTTAAATTCCTAACTTTTATTTTTATACACCCTTTTATGTTCGTTAATCCGTTTCTTAAATGTTCTACCTATTTGTCCAGTATTAATTTTGGGACATGATCCACATTTCAACTTGTTGAATTTTTCGTAATTTGGTTTTATTGTTTTTTAAGAAAAAAAGAAAGAAATTTGGATGGATGTTTCGAAATTTCCTTGCTAGGTTTGCCTATGTATTTTATTGTTTCATAAATTTTGGGTTCCGTGTTTAATATGGGAAAGATAGAGTTCAGAGTTATTTGAAACTGCTTTTTAGTTATAATCTTATCTATCAAAGAAGGGTCGTAACCATTTTTAAAAACTATTTGTTTTATAATAATTTTCTGTGGAAAGTGGTATATTAAGTAATCTATGGATAAAGGAAAAAAGGCAGTCATTTTGTGTGTGTGTAAGGGTGATTTGAGCTATTATGTATTATTGTGTCCTTGTTTGAGGGTTTATGGTAAATGGAAAAATCGAATTTGTTCAGTAGTTTAGTTATAGTTAAGTCCAGAAAGTTTAGAGTTATCCAGTTCCGTCTCAATGGTAAATTTTATACGGTTGTGTATGAAGTTAATATGATTTAAAAAGAACTGCAGTTGTGCTTCCATTCTAGTGAAAAAAGCAAAAACATCATCTACGTATCTATGCCACCAGAGAAATCCATTACTCAGAGGATGTTTATGTATGATATTTTCTAAATTGTCTGTGAAAATTTCTGCAAGTAGTGGACTAAGTGGGTTTCCCATAACTAATCCCTATTTAGCAATATAAAATTGACCATTAAATTTAAAAGAATTTTGGTCCAAACAAACTCTTAAACTATCTAGCAAATCTGGTTTTATGATAGGGTTGACTTGTCCCTCAGTGCGAATATTGTCTATTATGTTTATTGCATCATTTGGTGGAATTTTCGAAAATAGATTTTCGACATCAAATAAAACTAGAATTGCCTTAAGAGAAATTTTAATGTCTTTAACCTTGTTAATTCGTTCAAACGAATTTTTGAAAACATATCTATGTAATATGATATTCTAAAATTTTTATTAATCTTGTTGAAAGTTTAACTGATGGTGCTGTTACAAAAGGAACTACAGGCCTAATTGGCATATCCTGTGTGTCTAATTTAATTAAAGAATATAATTTTGGAGGTTGAGGATTCATAATTGTTAGTTGGTATTTTTCCTAATCAATCAAAAAATAGAACTAAATTTATTAGAAGCTATGGAGATTAACAAAATGAGATATTCAAATCTATTACTAAATGACCAATTGGATTTAAATGCGTCTCCCTTGTTACATTTAAATTTTTAACCCTACACCCTTTGTCAAAAATCTATTACTACCTGTTACTACAAAATTTTAAAATGAAAAAAAGTTCAAAAATCTAAGTTAATCGCAGAAAGCGAAATTGATGAATCTTGTTGGCTACTTCTCAATATTTCCTTCGTTTACTTTATTACTCTTAAGAATTACACCATTACTGACCGTTATAAAACTAATCCTATTCCGTGCAATATGTCCAATTTTTTTTTATTCTTCAAATGTTTCTAAGCACTGAACTGCGCCTCAATTTATCTGTGAAAAAAATAAGAATAGATGCTTTTGTTAGTAATTATTTGCAATAATATATTTTAAGATTCCAACAACTCACCAAGTGTTTTCCGAAATTAAAAATGGAGATGATGTTGGTGTCGTTAAATTTGCGGGGCCTATTCCACCGCCTGTCAAATTACCATCAAAATGGAAGTCAGCAAAGGATAAGTATGGACGGCCCTATTATTATCACATTAAAATACGAAAAAGTCAATGGGAGCCTCCCCCATTAATACCCGAAAAGATTGTTGCATGTAAGGGTACATAGCTTTCAATGGAATTTCATTTCTCACAATTTTTATATATTTTTTTAGCATCACCTTCATCTAGTTCCGACACCAGCTCCCTATCCTCAGATTCAAGCTCGGATTCAGATACAGATGGAGAAATTGACGACACGAAATTGCTTAAAGATGTTCGAAAACAAATGGATAAAGTAAAGTCTAGCCCTAAGTTGAATGTAGCAGTTATTAAACAAGAAGATAAATGCTGCAGTCCTAGTCCTGAAATTAAAGAAGATTCAGAAGAGGAGTTGAAGGAACAAGATCTCCTAAGCGAGAGTATTGACCAGGACATGCTCTCCTCTATAGATATTAGGTTAAAAGAACAGTTTAACTGGGACAGCGACAGACCTCCCCCAAAGAAAAAGAGAGTTGGGTTGTGTCAAGAAATTATAATTAGTGTGAGTTGAATTAACTTTTGCTAAAAAATCTTCTTTTAATTATTTTACTTTTGATCAAAAACACTTTATAATGTAATATTATATAACATTATAAAGTACAACAATGTTGTATTATAAGTTCTGAAGACCTAATAAAGGAAATATTTTCAAATGTGATAAACATTTATAATAGGTGATCTATATTCTAAATCACCTTTTTTTTTATCAAGAACTAATGTTAATGGCAACTTAATACCCAATCATTAGAGTGTCACTCAGAAATTTATTTCTATTAGGTTCGGATTCTGTACAAATTTTTAACAATCTATCTAAAAAGATTTCTAAATATATATTTTCCGGAAATGACTTAGGGACACACCATTTTTTGCCTTAGGTTGGGCACGAGAGAATCATTAAAGATGCACTAACTTTGGTACTAATCAACTACTTGTTTGTGACCAATAATACCTCTATTATCTCTAATGAGTCATACTGGATTTTTCAAAAAAAATGCGAAAAACTTAAGAGGGTAATTCCTTGTTTAAAATAAAGTGTAGTTATATAAACCCAACCATTAGAGAGGTATCGCGCTACAAATATAAATTTTAGTTTAAAAACAGAAATATGTCATTAATTAAGAAGAATGATAGGAATTGCCTAATTTAATCCCTTCACTCGTAAAAAAAAAAAAACCATTTGCCAGCCATATTTGTAGCGCGATATCTTCCTAATAACCCAACTCATAACTGGTTTTCAAAGGATGCATCTGCAACTAAGCACTTTCAGTACCCTTCTGCATTCATGGCAGTAATTAAGAATCAGAAACCTCTTATTTTCAAAGGTTTTTACGAAAGGGCTTATGCTTTTGATCTTCATTTTAAACTAGTCTTCTAAGCTCAGCAACATCAGCTTCCAATTGTCCACTATTTTATAAACCACGATCATTCTTGACACTACTCTGTTTTGATTTTAACATAATTACAATTAGTATTATTTAACTACAAACATTTTCCACCACTTTCTCATCTTATCATTTACAATTGCAGCCAAGATCAGAAGAAGACCATCTCCAGTTCAAAGAAGACATGAAAAGATACAAAGCAAACAAAGAAAAATTGAAAAGACAAAAGGACTTGATAATGGCAGAGACAAGGAAGAAATTGAAATTAAGCTTGAATGATGAAGATCTTTTGAAAAAAGGCAAAGACAAGAAACTGCGTTCATCCGTTAAATCTCGCATTAAGGAAATAAGCAGTTTCAGTAATGACGCCAAGAAAATTAAGGAAAACTTTAGATCAAATATGGCCACAACTGTAGTAGGTGTGTTGAATGCTTATAGAAAACCAGACTGTAAAGAAGGCAGAATCACAAATACAGAGGATTTCAAACACCTTGCAAGAAAGGTAAAAACATTTAGATTTTTAAATAACATTTTAATTACGTGAGTTTTAGTTGACACATTTTGTAATGCTTAAAGAGATGAAGCATATAGACAATATTGAAGAGTTGACCTGTACTGATAATGTAAAAGCAAAGGCTAGGGAATATATTAAAAAATACATGGGAAAATTTGGAGAAACTTATCTCAAAAAGCAAGATGAACCAGATTTCAAGGATTGACATTCTAAAATATAATTAGCTAAGGATGAATTGAGAGTCGCCCTTGTACTTTGTATAATGTAAATAAAGTTGTATGGTGTAGTTTTGTTTCCATATACGACTCCACACTTGGGAATATATTTTCATGGTAATATTGTAGGTGCTGTATAAAAAAGGAACTGACTGGATTTTATTTTACAAATTATAATAAAGCATTTATTTTTAACAGGTATAACCCAACTTTGAAAAATTCCAAATCCAAATTTTGCAGAATCCCTGGTCAAGAGAAAAATGGGCTAATGAAAATATCCAATCCAATTTGTCCACCAAAAAATACAGAACCTTGAGAGACCGATAACTTCTACAAAAAGAAGTTAGATAATAGCACACCCTGGAAATTTAGAAAACAGCTATTGTTGGCTTAATGACATGGGGAACAAAGCGCAGCAAAAGAATAGGAAAAAGTTATTTGCATTAATGATTTATTTTCAACATTGTTTCTTACATTCACTTATTAGAATTAATTTCCTTTGCATTTTGCAAGGCTTGGGTAATGTACAACTTAGCCAAACTCTGTGAACAGAACTGAGATATCGCTTGACTGTAAGTGTTTATCTGTCCAGCAATAACCATAGGATTCAACCTTGCTGGTATTGGATGAGGTCTAAACAGTTTGTTGACATCTTCTTCTGGTAGTGGAGGTTCTCCTTTACTACTTCGTGCAGCATTTTCCTGAGCTCTCTTTTGCAAGTATCTGTGTTTATCTTGTTGCTGTCTGCTAACTAATTGCTGATACCGATTGAATTTAATAGCTTCCTGATTTAGTTCATCCACTCGATCCATCAGGCATCGCAATTGACCTTCAAGAACTGTGGCCGTGCCCAAGTCCAAAAACTTTGAACCTTCCTCTTCGGGAACAAGTTCTGCTAATTCAGACATCATGATATTCGTTAATGGAGAATTCTTGATAAAGAATGGAACTTCAGTAAATAGATTTTCAAATCCAATCTTCAGTTTTAAAAAAGCTTCTGGTGTGAATTCACCTTCCTTATACATTTCAATCGCTTGGGGTGTTAATCGATATGCTTTTAGAGTTAAGAATCCCCTGCAAGATTTCTGAGTATCATAAATTACAACCACTGACTCCTCAATTGATGTTTGATAGTGAAACTGAGACTCCAATAATGGGAGACTCAAGAAGTTCCCTACATCTGCACTTTGATACCAACCCACGTGAAAATGATCTACATTTACACGTCTCAATCTTCTCATCATTGCTAATTGATATTCATCTTCGTCTGTTGCTTCATCAGATTGCTTTGGAAATGGAAAACAATTTGTTATTTCTAATCTGTTATCAACAACTAATCCCAGGAGAGCACCTTGTGCAATATCCATATTTGTTGTAGAGTCTTCATGGCAATGTTTAACTATTTTCATTACAGCCTAAAAGTTTTAACACAAATAAAACGATCACACAAAATAAACAAAATGTAAAGTTACCAGCCCGTCTGCTTGGACATAAGCAATTGTAGGTTCATTCTCAGTAGGGGCTCGTGCAGATGAAGTTCTCGCAGTCATTTTACTCTCAAGGAATTCCAAGTGGCTCACCTTTTATGTTCACTAACCAATATTCTATATCAAAAGAATTTTTGATGATCAGTAAATTTAATTATATGATTTAATTATTATAAAAAAAAGAACAGCATCAATGAACTCAATGCTCGCAGAGCACAGTCAGAAATGTCATTTTTTGGTTTACGTCATCAACTCAAGCAAGTACTCCGAAAAGGCTAGGTGCATTACTTTATTTTTATCAGCTTAGGTGTGACGTCCTCCATCCTCTTTGTAACATGCTTTTTTTGAATTGGAAAAATAAATAGTTTAGCCTTCTGAGTCTTTTAATGCAATAAATTTCGCCTTTCCAGCGTATATCAATCATTGTACTTAGAAAAGTAGTATATATCACACCAACTAAGTTTTAAATGTATTGACATTTTTTTTGTAATATTTAACAAGATTTGATCTCAATATAGGTGAGTTCGTTTTTGTCGTCAGATCGATTTAAAAACTCCGATCACGTTCGTTTACGGTTTTAGAAGGGTCGGATACGTCTGAAACGCGTTTGTTTATTGCATCTTAGAGCTAATAGCTAATAGAAGCGACGTATTCATTTTTGTGTTACGCGTCGTAAAAAAAATTAGTTTAGGCCATTTCATTAAAGTGACCAGATACTAAAAAACCACCTATAAAAACAAAATTCCGCCGAAATAATCAAGCACATTTTGTATGAAAAAATTGCATTGTGTCTACCACCAGATATTTTTATCTAGTAAAAATACATATAGAAGTAGGAATTAACTTTCGACAGGTTGCATGCTAACTTTCTGATCATAGTTATCCAATCGAAGAAAATGAGCTCAACCGTGATACTCATTTAAATTCAAAGGGTTTAATTTCTACTATATTATCATGACGTTTTTTTTTATTGCTATTTTCCCTAAAAGGAAAGGCGTTTCTTGTATCGAACCAATTTCAAAGTATTGTAAAAAATCCCGATAGTATTTGTTCGTTACCAAGAAGGCATAATCCGCGACGAAAGTCGTCAATGAGCGAATGATCGTAGTTTCATTACAACTTTGATAAGTGATAAGAAAAAGGAGAAGAAAAAGCTATTTATAGTCTATGACTTTATCTACTGAAATTTGCGATTGTGACTAGCTAAGTAAATTTTTGTGTATATCCTTTATTCAGCATTTTATCAATTTTTATTGTAGCTAGTGAAGTTAAAATGGCAAAAAACACATCAAGTTCCGCTTTCAGGAAAATTGATGTAGACCAATATTCTGAAGATAATTACAAAGAAGATGAAATTGAACAAGTTGGTCCTTTAGGACCTGATGAAAATGATGTAAACAACTTACTTCAAAAATATCCTTTTTATAATAGTTATTAACTTATCAGAACCTGAATTAAAGGGTATGTAAATTCCTTAATTACAAATACAGGCAAATTAGTAGACGCTCTAAAATTGGTGATAGGGAATGCACCATTGGGAAGTAAGAATCAACAAATAAAGGTGAATTATTTCTCAATTCTCGTCAGTTTAGGATTGATTTTATTTGATTATAGGATAATGCTTTGAGCCTTACCCTGAAAGTGTTGCTGTCCATAAAACCCTCACAAATAGAGGAGGCAGTAAATTCCTTGGACACAAATTCAGTTGATGTTTTAATGAAATATGTGTATAAAGGTTTTGAAAATCCATCAGAAGGAAGTAGTGGCCATCTGCTTTTGTGGCACGAAAAAGTTTATAGTGTAGGAGGAGTTGGATGTATTATTAGAGTTTTATCAGATACATGGAGAGTGTAAACTTCAGTAATATTTACATGGCTTAAAAAGTATTATTAAACTGAATTTTATTTTTTACTTTTTTATATAACTTTTAGGCATTTATATTAGAACTGTTGCTGCGTTCTATTACTAATTAGTGTTGGTAATAGTATGTTAAAACAAAGTGATAGAATATAATTTTTAAATAAATTGCAATTGGAAATGCACTCTTGTACTATTAACACCTCTTGGTTCTCGACGGAAATATTCCTAATTCAATGAAATTAAGCTTTGACCTGAAATTGTTTTCATTCATTTGAAGTAGTCGTTACCATTAGTGTGGAGGGATTGCTTTTTCCAGCTTAGTGTTCCAATCCAAAGAATCATCAAAAACTATCCTTACAGCTCTTATTGCCAAGTATTTTTAATAAAAGTGGATTATAGCGATTTGTCTAATGTCCTTTGCCAATTAAATTCAAGGAAGAAGAAGAAAATATAGGTTATCTCTTGAATTTATGGTTCAAACGGTAGAGTTGACTGGGTTCAGTGATGCACGTAATATATATCTAGACTCATTAATGGACAATTGATTTTTTTATGAATCCCTCTGAAAAGCAATAAAATGTGGTCAGACACTTTGCTGATTGTATTTATATCAATTTGCACTGCGTTGCTTGGTGAAGGTTTAACATGGTTTATGGTTTATAGAACTGAACGATACCAGAAGCTAAAAACGGAAGTTGAAAAACAAAGTAAACGATGTAAGAATTTTTACGTTTTTAATTTGAGTACTTGACAAGCAGCAGTTTGAAAAACTTATACAATAATCAGTAATTACGTATACCTAAACAGATTTCTTTATACAGTAGAAAAGAAGAAAGAAATTCTTGGAGATTCTTTAGATAAGCAACACAAGAAAAAACTGGAGCGAGAAGAGGATCGTTTGAAGCACAACAACCGAGATTTGTCATTTGTAAAAATGAAATCTATGTTTGCTATTGGTTTTGCTTTTACTGCTTTGCTCAGTATGTTCAACAGCATGTAAGCCCATATGCATAATCATTATATGTGCATCATGCGAGCTGAATAAGTGAAAATCAAATAATTTTAGATTCGATGGACGTGTAGTTGCAAGGTTGCCCTTTCTACCATTAGCTTGGATTCAGGGACTAAGCCATCGCAATTTGCCTGGAGATGATTACTATGAATGTTCCTTTATCTTTCTTTACATTTTGTGTACAATGTCAATTAGACAAAGTATTCAGAAAATGCTGGGTTTTGCTCCATCACGGGCAGCTTCAAAACAGGGGAATAGTTTGTTTGGACCAAATCCCACAGGTTTTAAATAAATCAGTGAATACTTTTGTTAATATTCTTTTGAAAGTTACTTTATATAAATGTTCACGAGAAAAATCTATAAAATTAAAACACAATTATTACAGAACTTGTTTATTTACTAACTCTTATGCTTTCAATGCAAACTTTCTCTGAGGAAAGATAGATAATTTCCTGATCTCTTTTGGTGTCTTAATTTTCTGTTCATGTTTTGACAGTGCCCTGCGAATAGCTCTGGTCTTCTTTGGTCTAAGGTCTAGGGGCTTATACTTTTTATTCTTGTATAACTTTCGTAAATTTTCTTTTTGCTTTTGGTGCATAACAATATATACACGAGCTATCGCCTTACGAACTACTCGGCTAAAAAGAACACATTGGTATTAAATTATAACAAAGCTCTTCATAAATTTCGTTACATTTTAGATAATTTTGAAGGGGCCCCACCAGTAACTTTGGCAACCCTCAAACTGGTCAGTTCCTTCTTTAAGTCATCGAGCTGTTTTAAAAGCTCTTTTTTGTCTTTTGTCCTCAAATCGGAACATTTCACTTTCCCCTGAAAATAACCTAATGTCATAAACAGAAAATATCACAAAAATATAAACATAGATTGAACATGCATACAAAAGCGGTTCGCAAAAATCGAATCAATTCCACGGATTGCTTTTGTTACAAACAATATTTTCAGATTAATTCGGTTCGTACCATCTTTCGCTAATTTGCTGAAAACGATCACAGTAAAAGAAGTTTCCAAAGAAATTCGTTTGGTGAATCACTAACCAGAACCTAAAATCTTTCGACAAAAAGGATTGATACACCTCGGAATTGTTTCCGGCAGCTTAGTGACAGCTGCATAACTACTGCGATGACGTCATTTAACCACTACGGAACAAATTGCATGTGCAATTTTATATGTGGTAATAAAGTTTAGCATATTGAACATCTTTTCACGTAATTAATTTTGATAAATAAGTCTTAATGAACTAATAAAATTATGAAGTATTTATATATAACTGATAAGAATCAATTTGAAACTTCGATTAACAAAGATTTGCTTTTTTAACATTGACAATAAGAAATCTTTGTATCCAACTGGCTGTCTTGGAGTAAGTGTACGTCACACAATCGGTCTTCTGTTTACCGAAATCGATGGTTATGAAAATGAACGATAATCTTTTGTTTAACATTCTTGGGGTTAGTCAACGCGTATTTTATACCACATATGGCTGTTAGATGATATAAGGACCGAACCGAAATGTTATATCGTAATGGAAAACTGTCGAATTAGAGAAGCGTTGGGCCCATGCTGATTGTTGAACATCCCAATGTCTTATTGGTTGAATACATATAGCTATTTTCTAATAACTATATGTATGTAAGTAAGATTGGCAATGACGTAAAAATGTTTGCTTCGAAAGTGAGAAGATTTTTAATGTTGGCAAGGCCTCTATATATCTAGTAGGTATATGGTTAGCACTGGTTAAGGGCGGAAAACAAAAGAGGAGGATAGTGGCTTGAGTAAAAAAAACTAATAAAAATATTTGTCTTAATGGTTGCTTCTCATAAACGAATATAAGGAGGATATTTGACGTTTAATTTTATATTATCGTTGATGTGTATGATCTAGGCGTAAAACATTATTCAGTCTAAAAATTTAAAAATTAGTCAGCATTAACTTCTAAATTAGTTTATCTTCCTCTACAAGTAACGTATGAAACTGGTCTCGAACGGGATTGATGACGCCAACACTGGCGCCAAACTGGGGAAAATATACAGCTGATGTAACTATCATCTTGGGCTCACTTTCTTTCAGCATAGTCAAAAGTTTGCAACTTTTTTAAAGAATGGGACAAAAATGTGGACTTTTTATTTTTTAAAATAAACGAATTATCTTTTTACTTATAATCATATTAATTTGGCAACATTGGTCACATATTGCATAATATTTATTGTCAAAAGCATGCAATGCTTGGCGATAGTCAATTCAAACGATGAGCGCAAATGTCTTTCGCTTCTTATCAGCGTCGAAAGTCCTAGATTAGACGGAGAAGAAGTAAAAACAACGCAATGTTAAAGCTTCGAGAGATAAACGTTACAATAAGAAAATCTAAAAAAGAAGACATGGTGCAGGTGTATAAATTGATAAAGGTATTTGTGTATATATGTTTATAATAGAAATTAACTCGATATAGCGCATAATAAATTAAATGAAAATGAAATATTAGTTAATTTGATTATTGTTCCTGATTTATGATACTTTCTTATAATTTTACAAATGTTATAGAATTTTTTTTTGGCAAACAGTAAATGTATTTGATTTGATTATGCTTTTAGAAAATTTACTGCGTTTCAATAAGTATAATTTTTCGGGGGGAATTAAATAATACTTACTCAATGAATAGTATTCACTTATTAAACAACGGGATTAAAATGAGGTGAATAGGGAATTGAAATGCATTTTATAAAAACTGTAATGACTTAATTTACTTTGTATTGACTGTTGATAAGGCATGGCTAAATGCCAAGAAAAGTATTTTTGATGTCGACTTTTGATAACATAGTTATCTTGACGAATAAATGTTCTGCTCGTGGTACTATATATATGTTCGAATCTTTTTTTCAAAAGAATCACGGTATGTAAAAAAGTATTGCAAAAAAAGTCATGTCCGTCTAGGAATTTATTTTATATTTTTTTACCTAATTTTGGTTGAACAATAAGTGGGTATTTTTGAATTTATAGTTTTGTATAAGTGTAGCTGTACTTTGTGAATTTCATTTAATCAATGTGATTGGTTTGATGAATTATAATTGATTGAATTTCAGGGTGTTGCTATAAATGAAAACATCATTGACATATGCTCCAGTAATTAACCAATTTGTTTCAATAAAAATTTAATTTAAAATTTTAGGCTCTAGCAGAGTTTGAGAAACTGGAACATACAATGAAAATAACTGCTCAAGATCTCGAAAATGATGGATTCAACACCGACAATCCAGCTTTTACCTGTTTGGTAGCTGAAATCTCAGACGGTCACATAATGGGATATGCCATCTACTATACTTCATACTCGACTTGGTTGGGGCGTTCAATATTCCTTGAAGACCTCTACGTTCAACCCGCATATAGACGGAGTGGCATTGGTCGGGAATTGTTTTTAGCTGTTGCCAAAATAGCACATGAGAGTCCCAGTAAAAGGATGGATTTTCACGTGTTATCCTGGAATCCCGCAATCGACTTTTACAAAAGCCTAGGAGCTATGGATATGACCATTACTGAGAAATGGCATCATTTTAGGATGGATCAGGACTGCCTAAATAAGTTATTTTCAAAAAAATGAAATTAAAAATACTAGATTTATTTTTATATATATTGTATATACATAGTTGCAGTATTTACCACATATTGTTAATACAAATAGGCTACCAACTGTTCGAGCCGAAAGACTTTTCATGTTTATTTAAACCTTTTTTGTTGCCAAATAAAAACGTTTTAACATTAGTTAACTTTTCAGTTGTTTTTAAAATGTAGGCATCACAAAATTTGGTTATTTTTATATGCAAAACTTTCGCATATCGGGCAAACTATGCCTTTTTGCTATTGATACTTGGGTTCTAAAAATTGTATGAAATATTCAAAGCATTTTTCTAAAAACATGCGCCAACGTAGATCCATTGTTACAAAAAAAAAGCTCATGAATGTAGATCCCAATATGCCTGTCTCCAAGATACTTAAATGTTAAATTTTGGAAATGTCATTTATATTGACAAAGGGCTAATTTTGTTTAACTAGATTAAAATTGTGAAGTCCAGTGCAACAAACAGTAGTGTTTTCCACTGTCTATTCCGCTGCCTTTTTTCACATATTTTTATGAATAAATAGAATCTCTTTTTGGTTTGTGGTTTACTACTGTTGGACAAGTATGAAATTAATTTAAAAAAAAAAACAAAATCGTAAACTTTCTATTCTTGGCTAAAAATTGTGGATTCACTAGAAAATACATGTACGGCTTCATCATAAACATCATCTGAATCATCTTCATTACTTTCTCCCAAGTATGTTGGAAATGGTACAGGATTTTGTGGTTTTCTCAATGGCAATTTAGTATCATAAATATAAACCAATGAGTTGGTCTCTCCTGGAATAGCTTGACCACTAACATAAAGTACATTATGTTTAGTATTGATTCTCCATATCTTTAATCCTCTAGTGATTCGATATCTATTTCCCATGTGACCAGGCATTTTGGTACCTGGCCAAACTCTTCCTTTTTCACCACCACCGCCAATATTACCACCACGTCTGTGTGTCTTTGTAACACCATGAGAGGCAGGCATGCCTTTGAAACCATGTCGTTTCATAACACCTTGAAATCCACGATCAATCCTGCAAAAAAAATTGCTATTACATTTTCAGGAAGCTACAGTAATTAGACGTACGTTTTTCCTCTAACATCAACATAATTGCCAACTTGAAAGTGTCTGGCTGTAATTAAGGTACCAAGCGGTAAAGCTGCATCAGGACTAATAAAAAATCTAGCCAGGTATCTTTTTGGTATTACCCCTGAATCTTTAAAAAGTCCACAGTATTCCTTTGTGAACATTGAAGGATCTGTTGCTTCAGCTCCCAACAACAAACAACCCTTTTTATTATAAATTTTGGTTGGACGCTTTCTAGGTTGATCATACTCTTCAGGAGAATAATATTTAATAACATGATTGTCAAGAATCTAAAACAGGTATGATACATTAATGCTTCACCAAAGTTAATAACACCTGTAATAAAGTAGTCAGCATTTTTGTCCCATTTTTCATCCACATTGGATAAATGCCAATTTTTTTTGCAAGAACCCCTGTTCTTTGGAATCTGGGATTCCAGTCAATCCCACTTATCATTGGTGATTCATTTTTGGTAGCCTCAATCATTTTATCCTCGACGATTTCTTTCAAAAAGGTTTTATTTTCTGCTGTTATTAATTCATCTTTATCCTAAAAATGTGATTGTTATAACTAATTATATTTGAATTTGAAATTATTTACATTAATTTCTTTCCTAACAAACCATGTGGGATTTCTCAGTCGTGGTTTCGGATTCAAACGATGCTTTTCACGTACAGGGTAGCATACTCCTAAACTATTAATAAAAATATTGATAGGTGGATTAATTTCTTACAAGATCATACCAAACAGTGTTCAGATTTTCCTCTATTAACAATCGACGATTAGAATTTTTAACAATTCGTAAAATTCGCAAGGCCATAGTTAAATTGTTAAAATTTCGTTTACGATAGTAACAAATTATATTTAATTTCTAACGATTCATGTAAAAACTAATTTAACTGCAATATACTAAAAGTAAGGTTAGGTTCATAAGTGTAAAAAATCTTGAAATACCATTCAAACAAAAAAAAAAGATTACCAGGCATGGAAAGGTATCACAAGCTATGTGAAAATAATAAGTTTCGGTAAATATATGCTCAGCTTCAAACATTAGATAAAAAAATAGTTTTTGATAATTTTTAAAGCCCGGTAAATTCTATGCAATTTCTACATATGTATACAATTCGGCAATTAATTTTTTTAGAGCAGCACTTCAAATGTTGAACATCCTTATTTTTCTCAGTTTAGTTATGGTATTACGGATTTAATTAAAAAGTTCGAATACCTAAAACTACGTTTATTTAAAAAAAAACAAAATTCCTTCAGAATAATCAAGCATATTTTGCTTGAGAGAAAATGCATCGTGTCTAAAACCAAAAAAGTACCAGTTAAAAATAAACACGCATTTTCTACAGAAATTTATATTTGATAACAATTCATGTAGAAAAACATGTATAAATTACATCGAGTCTTGCATAAGTTAGTCTATACTTTGGGTCATGGTCTGTGACCAAAGGTGCGTAAAGTCATGAGGAGATAGACATTCTGTGTTAGACGTTAAGGCATATAGCTACTAGAGATATAGAGGCCCTTCTTATGCTAATAATAGAGGAGCTTATGAAACAACCATGAAAATATTGGAAGGCCAATTAATTCAACATGCGCATGCGCCAGATTTAAAATTTCGCTTCATTCAATAACCAACATGGCTGCTGATAGATCATCAATAAGTTTGGACGCGGCATTTTTACTGCAGAATTTTTTCAAAATATGAGTAGATCTCGTCAAATGTTTTGGAAAAACGAGTTTAGTGGGTGGAAATCACTGTTTAGAAAGAAAATGACGCACAGTGCAGGTTGGTGGTTGAAATGTAGCATGCGCGGAAAACTTCTACGAAAATATCAATGTCGCATGCGGTGCATCAATTTTTACCGTAGTAGGGCCACTGTAATATCTAATAGTTATGTGTGCTATGGTTAGCTTTTCAGTAAATTTTACTTAATAATATATAGCCTAATAGTTGAAAATATCGTGGAAAATATCTCTGAAAACATCCGATTGGTCCCACACCCGCGCAGTTAAATTCCAAAAGTGTCTCCGATCAGTGGGAAACGAAGCTCACGTGGTAAGGCGACGCTTCCCGCATGCTGGATCGGTGTGTAATTACGTTTTTACAGACGGGAGCAGAAAAATATTTTTTTTGCCCCACGGATCCGAGCCACTTCGGACATTTTCGGAATATTACCGCACGAGCTTGGGAACAATTGGATGTTTTCGAAGATTTTACCACACAGCTTGTATTTTGACGTTTGTCAAATCTAAAGGTCATGTAACTGAATGTATTCGTGTTGTTTTGCAAAAATGTACCCAAAACTAACGATCGTAGAGAAAGTATAACATGCAACACGTTCGGCAAACTCTTTTTTCTACTCCCGTATGCAAAATACTTAAGTAGCCACCGATGTAGCGTGCGGGAAGCGTCACTTTACCACGTCTGTTTCGTTTACCACGAATCCGAGCCACTTCAGACATTTCCGGGAGTTTACCGCACGGGTTTGGGAGCAATCGGATGTTTTCGGAGATATTTCCCATGCTTTGAGTTGTGACGTTTGTCAATTCTGACGGTCATGTCAGTGAATGTATTCGTGTTTTGCGAAAATGTACCCAAAATCTAACGGTCGTAGAAAAAGTATAGTATGCAACACGTTCGGTAAACTTTTTAAGTCACTCGTTTATTAATCACTCGCTCCGCTCGGGCCAAATAAACCCGTGACTCAAATGCCGTTTTCCACACTTGTTGCATAATATACTATTACTGGCCTAATTTATCATCCAACAATACAGAAACTTACAAAATCTTGCAAGATCTGCGAAAAGCATGGAAAAATCCAATCCATTGTCTTGCCAAAATTGAAGATCTGAAACCAATTTTGGTACTCTAGATTTGATGGATGGTGGAATTTTGATATCGTGTTTCGAAATCCTCATTTTCCACTTTCAAACGGTTTAGCGGAGAAAGCAGTTTCAATTTCTAAAAATACGCTAAAAAAGTCTAATACGGAAGTAAGCAAGCATATTGCAAATCAATTATGATTTTGATTTTGAAAATAAGGCTTCTGATTGTGCTGCTACAGATAAAGATGATGTTAAACCAATTGTACATGCTCCTTTTTATGATGAAAGCATTGGAAATAAAAGTGCCCGTTCTGTTTGTATTTAAATAGGGGGAATGTATAATACAGTTTAGTCTATAGTTTGGGTTATAGTCTGTGACCAAAGATTAGAAAAGTTATGAACCAGGGGAGATAGACATGTTGTGCTAGACATTAAGGTCGTAGACAATATTATTAATTAATTTCAGTTTATATGTAAAAAAATATCATACACTTCTAAGGTGAAAATCCTCTATTTGATTTGTTCTCTAAAACGTCGCCCGTAGGGGTACTTTAAAAAAGCTTAATTAGAAGACTAATTGATGATGATTATATGATGACGATAATAGAATTTTAATCTATGTAACTACAACCTATGACTACGACCTATAACTATAGAATTATTAATTTCTCGCTCACAACCCATGATGTTTAAAATTTCTCATTTATGGACCCTTAATTTAGAGAAAGTCTGTTAGTTAAGTTTTTCTGAAAGGCAGCGTTTTAATGTTTTTACCTAATCGATTGAAATTGGTTTTCAGCGAAGAATATTTTCTTTCTACTCCTCATTAACAACTTGAAATGAACGGATGCAGAATTCAATGCAGAGTAGATGTACTTTCTAGAACAAATCTTAGCCTTCTTCTTTTTATCTCATTACAACAACTCGAATATTAATTGACAGCTCAGAAGAAAAGAATAAATCGCGGGTCGACAACTTGAACTGCCTGGAACATTCGAAATCGACAATTTTAGAACGAAAACGGTAGTCTTCAACAACTTAAATAAAAATGAATATTGAACCCGATGGTAGAACTACTCACTAAATTAACAGAGAACTTTACTACTTAGTGTGGCATAATTAATAAAATTGGGTCCAAAGAGCAAAATATGACCATTAAAATTACACATTAAACATTATTATCAACATTATGACAAACATTATTATCAGCAATTACAACTTGCAGTTAGTTTTAGTCAAATTAGATAATAATTGCCAATTTAACCAAATCATGTCATTGGCAATAAATTATTACTTTTTACCAAGCTGCAAAACTTGAATAAGATATCCCAGATTTATAGATTCTTTCTCCACATTTTTAATGCAAAAAGGAATAAAGCGAGGAGGAGGAGGAGGAAATCGTTTCATCCCCTTTATTTTCATAATTATAAGGCTGGAAAGAAAATTGCAGCATAATATACACGCAAGACGCTTTATACGCCCCCAAGCTGAGGGTGTGTCCATTGTCATATAAAGTTTTCGTTCAGATTAGATTTTCGCAATTTAAGATCTGCTACTGACCTAGCTGGTAGGTACTTATAAATAGAGTAATAATCATTTTACCAAAAAGTATATTTGATTTTCTGTATTATAATCAATTACGATGATATAGTTGCAGTTGTTTTCAAATCGTGAACAATGCGTCGTTGGAAACACAATGAAGGCATTCTGAACTTTCCCAAATATTGCATGATAGCTATGGGAATGTGGAGATTAAATTTACCGACCCAAAATAAAATTTTAACGAAGTTTTACATCATTTATTCTTGTTTAATACAGATTTATTATCCGGTATTTTGGACCTCGCTTTTCGTCAAGTTTGTTATAGTAATGATAGACAAAAATTCAAACAAGAGCATGGAGGAATGGTTCAAGGATCTTTCATATGTGGTTGGTTTCCTCATCATAATGATGTCGTCGCAATTTTGGCAGAAAAAAGATTCCGTACGAAATATACTTTACGTAATTGAGGAGGAAAACGTTTTGCTCCGATCGCGGGACGAAGAATTGCTCAAGTGCCATTTGGAATTGGTGCAATTTAGTCGATTAATGAACTATGTCTTCCTGTGCATTGCAGTGGGTGCAGGGGTGTCGGTGATGTCCGAAACTTTTAGACGCAGAAATGAAGTAGAGAAATACAATAAAAAATACAACGGAACTTTGGAAAAACCGTACGCTTTCGATTTATTTTTCTTATTCGATTTTGATAAGGAACAGTACAGCAGCCTGTTGCTGATTGTGGACGGTATTTCTTGCCTATTGACTGATATTATGGGCATTTCGTCTAAAATTATGTTTATTTCGTGCATAATTTTCGCCTGTTCATCACTGCAAAGGTTGCAGATCAAATGCAGAAAGATGACGCTATACGAAACAGATCTTTTCGATGCTTTAAGTCATCTCATTAGGGAAAATCAGCAAATTATTAGGTGAGTAGTTATAATGGATCTATATGATCGGGGTGTTAATAGGACATTGATATTCACCGAATATTAACGTCAGCAGCAGTAGTAAAACTAACCAAAACTAACTAAAATGATGGGCCAATGTCGTTAACTCCCGAAATATTGCAAATATTGCCTTATCCTATATACAGTGTGTCCCATTTAAGAATTGAACACTCTTTTAAAATTTTTGTTTATGGTTCGATTTTGATATTTTCTTTTGTTGGGTAAATGTAATAAAACCTTGTTTTGCTTATTGCCTCAGCCTAAAGTCATGTCCAACAAAGACTAACACTAACTAGAGAGAGGCATTAGGGCCTTTTTAAAGGATACTTTGGCAATTTGGAAGTCTTGTTCAGGAATATTTAGATCCCAGTTATACCAATGCTTAAACGCAGGGTGTTTGAAATATCAAAAGTAATTAAAATCGAACAAAAAAAACAAGATTTTATAAGTGTGTACAGTTTTTAAATGAGACACACCGTATATGCTCTGTAAACTGATTTACCAAATTATTATTTTTCTCAATATAAAGTTACACTTAATTCTTTTGCAATATCAATCAATCAATCTGCGTGAAATTATTGTGCATTTTGTGTATCCTTATGAGAAACTCCATGATTACAGCGCTAATTTTTGAGATTTCAAAAACGGTATAATCATATTTTGAATAGCCTCAATGTGAAAGATATTTTGACTCTGAAAGTTTTATCATTTTAACAACGTTATCCTTAATATTTTTTCTCTGTTGTCTTCGATAATAGTTTTTTTTCTTTTTTTTGCAACATTTCAGCTTCCAAAAATATTATCTCTTAGAGGCGGCCCTAATATGTTTTTCCTTGTTTTATATAATCTGATATCCTTATAATGAAAATTGGATGGATGCCAAAATTAAAATTCTAAAGAGTGATTAATAGTTACTTACTACTTAAACTAGAAAATCAATTTTTTTAATAATAGATTATTATAATAATATATAAATAAACATAAAAAAATATAACATAAAACATAAAATAGTAATAACCATAAAATTATATTTAAATTGAGTCATAATAAGAAGCATTTTAAACGGATAAAAATTCTGCAAAAAATATCAGATCCGTATTTAAATTCTGACTCTCTTGAGTGCTCGTAAGAAACAAAGCTTTGAATTCAAATTTTAAATGTTAAAATGTTAAAAATGTTAAATAGTTGGAATAAAAAAAAATACAAAATCGAAATCTCTTTCATATTACGGAAGATATGGAAATATGGATATAATGATACTATACAGGGAGTTTCATTTAAAAAAATTGCTATCTGACTTAATCCTGTGCTACTATTCTACCATCGCACTTTACTCCAAGTTACTATAATGTTTCTGTTAATTAAAATATTTAGTTGGTATGGGGCAAGTAAAGATTTAATTATAACGTAATTTATTTATTTGATACATTTTATTGGCCATATGTAAGATTTTTGCGTTAAAAAAATCACTATTATTTCAATTAAAGTTATTTAATATCAATTTTTTTCGCAAAAAGTTGTGCTTATTCGCTCAACCTTAATTTGATTTGCGTATTAATACACAGGAAATAAAATTAAATTTGTTTCCAGTTTAAGAAAACTGCATGTTCTTCAAGGAGATATATTTCGGAAAAGTGCACTGAACACAGCCTTCTCAAATACTATACGCACCAAATTTTTATTACCAACGCTGGTGACTGCCGCTTTTGCTTTAAATGTTTGGTTCAAGTAGATACTTCTGTAGTGAGGCAAATTGTCGTTCACATAAAAAAAATATTTAAAATTAAAGATGACGGTTATTTATTAATTAGACTACATATAATTAAATGTTACTAGTAAATTAGATATCGAACTGTTCGTTCTAGGTTTGTGCAGAACTTAAACCATTCAATAAAATACCTGATTTTAGTGGAGTATTTGTTAACTTCGCTGAATATAGCTGCAGTCTCAATTCAAGTGATGTTGGTAAGCGCATTTCTCATTATTTCTTAAATCGAGATGCAATATCCAGAAGTTGTAAAAAGCAATTATGTTAGTGCTTTTTAATTAGGAACATTGCTCATAGTCGTAGTCATAAGTACTAACGTCTTAAGTGATTAACACCATATAAAATAATCTTATTTGGTTTGGTTAAAGTGTAACGTGGGTGAAACAGGAACTAATATCGTTAGATTAAAAATTAATACGAAATTAATGAAAGGGGACTAATTATCTACAGACAATATTCAACAAACAAATGACAATTAAGAGGGGTGTATTAATTTATTCCATTCTGAATTGCTTTTTTCTAAATACTTTTAAGTTTGACACGTGGAGGAAAATGGAACGGTAATAAGTATATATTTACCTGTTTTAAAGGACTACGACTTAACTACCAAAACTGTTTGATTGTGTTTATTGGAATGTATAGTAATTTTCATTATTTTTTAAGAGTATATTTCTACTGGAGTTCGGAACTGGCACAAGGACAACTAGCAACAGCAACAACTCCATTAAGTTTTGAGTGTTGCTAAAAAACACATTCTGATGATTTCAAAGGATATGATTTCTTCCAAAGAAGCTAGACTTTTTTAATTTACATTTTTCCTGGATATGATAATATCGTCTTGTTTCAATACCAAACAACCAAAGTTTCCCGCATCTGAATGAAAATTTAATATGTTGGTTTTGACTTCCTGAATAAAAATTCTCAGGGGTTGAAATCCTATAACTGGATTTTAACGTATATAGGAATGAAGGGTGTCTTTATCGATATATACATGGTGTGACCCAGTAACTGCTATTAAGTAGGTTCTTTATGAAGTCAAAGTTTAAAAAAACATTTTTCTTGATTAATTTCTAAAACTAAAACAGTTGAACTATTTTTATTTAATTTTGCAGTGTCAATGTCTATACAAATCGAAGGCAAATGTTGTTTTTTAAATACAATTCTGGTCCTCCACTGGTTCAATTTTAACACAGATTGTTCGCAATAAGATTGAAAACACTAAATTCTGCATTAGTTTTGAGCGAGTAATTTGTAATATAATTAAAAAGAAAGCGAAGAAGATGAGAAGATAATTGAATATATTAGGTGTTCAATGGTGAGGTGTGTAAGATAAATTTAAGTAATCCATTTTCTTAGGTTACTAAAAAAAGTGAATGAAAAAGTGCCAAAAATTATGTATTGCGAACTAATTTTGGTTTTCTTCATTTCAGTTTAATTCCACTAGAGCGTCCGCATTGTTTTTTCTCAGCTATTTGTTTTCGCAAATTTTAATCTTGGGTTGGAGCGCAAATGAAATCAAAATGCAGGTAAACAGGTAAAGATGCAAAGTCTGTTCATAGATATAAGAAAGTGACCAATTAAGGAAAGACCCGGGCAAGCTGTAAGAATGAAATATGTGAAATATGGCCGAACAGATCCGTACTTTGCTTAAAATTTAATTATTTGGGGTTTTGTCAGGAAAGATACTAAAGAATATTTATTTATTTATGTACGTATTTATGTTTAAATCTAAAAGAAAATTACAAATTATTTTTATTACCTACTTAAATTACTTAAAATTATTTATATAATATATCAGTATCACTATCGCTATCATCGCCTGTTGTAATTATTATTTGTTCTATATTATTTGCAACAGAATTTGCCCAACTTTGAGGAGGGATGTTAAAAACTTCGGTTTCTATAAGTTTGAGGATATTGGAGTTAACACGGGGAAAACATTGTTACGACGAATGGCAGATTTCAGTTGGTGCCAAACATGTTCAATGGGATTAAATATACAGTGCATAATTATCATAGACGTAGTAATTTGTAGGTTCAAGCTTTGTAGAACCTCAATTAATTGCTTTTTGGTATAATTTTCGTGAAAATAAACATCGTTATTATATATGTAGTTTTGAATCGTTTTTGTATCACATAAGGAAGGGGTTTTAATCAACTGTCATTGTCCATTACAAATGACGCTATTAGGAGGAAGGTTTGGAACTAGTTTGTTTTTAAACCAACTTCAAATTAATCGGCGGTGTCTTCATGGTAATCCAGAGAAGAATCTTTAATATTTTTCGCAGATAGAGAAAGTCCATTAGGAATCTTTAGAGCCAGCATGCAAAATATGTATTCTTTTACCTCTTTTTGATGGCGCGTTTGTTTTACACTTATCAGTTGAGTCAACCCAACCCTTTTCCGGGGTATCATAAGTGTCGAACCAGGTTTCGTCCAAGCAAATAATTGGCCTTTGTTGTTCTCTGTAAATCCTAATTTTTCCTAGATATTCCAGTCGCCATTTCCGAATTCTAAAAGAATCCATTAAAACTTGCCTTTTGTCAATTTTTTTAGATCTAAAACCCATGTGTTGAATACACTTCTATAAGGTAGTTCTGCCACATTTAACACCGATTTCATCTTTTTCAAGCCTCCTAATTAAGATACCTAATGTAGGCACGCTTTGTTTCTCGTATAACTGGTAAATTTTACGCCGTATTATATCTTGATCACTTTCATCTACACTCGAGAAAATGTCAGCATCGCCTCTTTTTTTCCTCGCTGAAATGGGATTATTCACAATTTTCCATACAGTTGATGTTGGAATTTTCGTCAATGTGGCCGTTTCTTCTAAAGATGCTTGCTTGCTGGCACCACGTTCAATGAGAGTCAAATAAATATTGTTTATAACTTTCTTAGTCTCAATAGAATGGTGTTTTCCACATTTGGGCGGGAGCATCTCCTGAGATACACTAGACTCGCACATATTTTAAACTAAGTAGTATACCAAACCAAAGAATATTAAACACAGGTAGGTATAAAATTATTTTCTATTACGGACCACAGTTTTACCTGAATTTAAATTCCGAAACTTTAGGTAATAATGTTGTTGCATTGTATGTTAATGACCACCCTTGGATAATCCCATTCAAAAGCATTTGGTCACTTTCTTATATCTATGAACAGACCATACACATGTCAATCAAGACAATAAATAAATGTTTCGTTTTGTTTCTATTAAGGCATTGTCGAACATACATTGTTTGGGACAGTTAACCGTTATCAAGTATAGAATAATTTTTTTTCTTTAATTTAAGTCTATGGAAGCCGAGTTTGGACCATTTGACGTTATGTTGTCCATACATTTCGCAGTGCCAAATTTCACCGTTCATATGTTTCCTATGTTCTTCAAGTCTTACATTTAAAGGCCACTTTAGATCGCCAACAAATGTATCTTCTTATGCACAGGGTATCTGATAGATACACTCTTTCTCTTCAGTAGATGTTTCTGGTGTTGTTAGTAAGTACTCTTCTTAATGCCGACCCGGACCTGAAAGTGTGTATAGGCAATATTTGTTGTTCAGTGCTGGAGAGGTGCCTTAAAGATATATTTATTATTGTTCTCTTTTCGCTTTTTTGTTTTTTCCGATCATTAATGTTTTGCAAATTTGCCAAATTTCCCTGAAGTTTTAATTTTGGCATACGATCAACCCTTCTCAAATGTAGCCGTATAAATTAAGCGACCTTTGAATGTTATGGTTTTTCTTTATCAGGTTTTTATGCATTATGTTCAATTTTTTTAATACTTTAAACTTTCTTATTCACTAATCATATCAATGTTCACAATTTATTTTGCCTTTGTCGTTACTTATTTGGCTGTTTGTTTAATAGAGTCTGGGTATAGCGGATGCCATATACGACAGTCCCTGGTACGACCAAAGTGACGCAGTAAAGAAAACGGTCTTGTTTATTATTATGCGTGCGCAACGACCTCTTCAGCTAACGATCGGGCCATTTAACGGTATGACTACGGAAACGGCGGTGACTGTAAGCATTATAGCATTCTCAAGTTTTCAATTTCCCCTAAACGCGATTTGTTTTGCAGATTCTGAAAGCGTCTTATTCATACATTACACTGATGAGGACCGAGTACGTTTAATCCAAAGATTGATTCCATTGTCTGCCAGATAAAATTACTGGCCAGTGGAACTAAGTAACGTAAATATATATGATAATATGTTTTAATTAATTTTTATTCAAAAACGAATATATAACTTAATCTGTCTTCATTGTCTTGTTGTCTTATCCGCTTTGCGCTTCTTCGGCTTCTTTTCTCCTTTTTGTATTTTCATTTTCATCAGTCATTAGTTTATTTTAATTATTATTTCAATTTACACCCTTTTCGGTAACCCATACTCGACGTATATTTTTGAAAAAGCTAATAAAATTGTTAAAAAATATAGAGGTCCCAGTGAACATGCTGGTATGGACCGGCGTGATATAAAAGTAATGGAAATAGAAAAACGCTACTAGCAAAAGACAAAGGCAACAATCTCCAGCCTGTGTCTTTTTCATTTCTAAGACGAGTGAATAAAAATGAAACTAAGTGGCGTGTGACGTGACCAGCAGAATTGATGAACCTAAAAATACCTTTTAAAATATATCAATAACATCGAATCCATTTTTTGCGAATATTATGATAAATAAAGATATTTGCTTGTCATCGCGATCTTAGTACCCCAAAAGTATTTAGCAACTTCCACCAAACAAAGTTGAAGATCGTCTCTAGTTAACAACTTGTTTATCATTAAACGTTGTAAATCATCAATGTAAATATATATGTTGGATGTGAATAAGTAAACAAAGGCAACTTTTAGAGATTTATTTGTCACGATAGCGGATTTCTCTTATATCTGAGTAGAATTACGGAATAAAGAGAAACGGAAAATCGTTACGCCCCCTTTACTTTCGTAATTACAAGGCTGGAAAAAAAAATTGCAGCATAACGGTCACACAAAACGCTTTATACCTGTAATAATATCCGCAAACAGAGGATAGTTGCACTGTTATAAAGTTTTCGTTCAGATAAAATTTTCACAGTTTCAGTTTTACCTTCGAAGAACATAAGGCTATTACTTAGAACTTAGAACGGTTCCACTCAAAAACATCTCAAATAAAATAAGAATAAGTACCATCAACTTGCACAATGCAAAGGCGGAAACGGAATCACGGTATTCTCAACTTTCCGAAATATTGCATGATGGCCATGGGAATGTGGACATTAAATCTACCAACTCGAAATCGTATACTTACGAAACTTTATACAGTCTACTCGTGTTTGATACAGGTTTATTACCCAATATTTTGGATTTCGCTTTTCATCAAGTTTGTCATAGTATTGTTAGATAGAAATTCAAACAAGAGCCTGGAGGATTGGTTCAAAGATCTTTCATATGTGGTCGGTTTGCTCATCATAAAATATACTTTACGTAATTGAGGAGGAAAACGTTTTGCTCCGATCTAGGGACGAAGCATTGCTGAAGTGTCATTTCGAATTGGTGCAGTTTAGTCGGTTAACGAACTATGTGTTGTTGTCCTTTGCGTTGGGTGTGGGGGTGTCGGTGATGTCTGAAACTTTTTGGCGCAGAGCTAAAGTAGAGAAATACAACCGAAAATACAACGCAACTTTGGAAAAACCCTACGCTTTTGATTTATTTTTCGTATTCGATTTTGATAAGGAAAAGTACAGCAGCATGTTGCTGATTATTGACTGTGTTTCTTGCCTATTGACTGATTTTATCGGTCTTTCGTCTAAAATTATGTTCATTTCGTGCATAATTTTCGCCTGTTCATCACTGCAAAGGTTGCAGATAAAATGCAGAAAGATGATGCGATGCGAAACAGATCTTTTCGTTACTTTAACTCATCTCATTCAGGAACATCAGAAAATTATTAGGTGAGTAGGTATATAATGCAGTCAGATCTATATGATAGGGGTGTTAATATGGCATCGACATTGTTGGATATTAACATCAACAGCAGCAGTAAGAGATACATAAAACTATCTAAAATAACAAGCCAATGTTGTTATAGCCGAAATATCGCTTTTGCCTATATATGTGCATATTATGCTCTGTAAAATGATTTCTAAAATTATGATTTTTCTAAACATAACGCTACACTTGATTTGCGTGAATTTATTGTGCATTTTTGATGTGATTAATATTTTGAATAGCCTTAATATGAAGGTTATTTTGAATTTGAATTCAAAGTTCATGTTATGACCCGTTTTACTTGCTTTCAATAATCGTTCAATGTACTTATATTTTTTTGCGATGTTTCTACTCAATAAAAATATTATCTTCCAGAGGCGCTCTTATTATGGTTTTTCTTATTTTATGTTTTCTGATATCCTTATAGTGAAATTATTGTTTGAATGTTTTAAATGTACGGCCGTCAGATTGAACACTTAAATTAGATTTCTAAGAGTTATAGTTATATAATAGAATTCATGATAAACATATTAGGATATACAAAAAAACCATAAAATAATAAAAAATATATATATTTTTCGGAATTAATACATCACGAAAATTATATATAATTTAAACCATCATAGAAAGCCTTGAAGGAATAAAGCTTTGAATTCAAATTTTAAATGCACCGTTTTATTTAGTGTTAAATAATTGGAACGAAAAAGTGTTTACAAAATCAAAATATCTTTCATAATAAAGAAGATGCGGCTCGTGCCTTGGTAACTGGTGCAATTCAAAAGCTGATTATACTGTTTTTCCAGACAGAGCGCTCTATTAAATCAATTTACTCTCTGACCTAACCTCGTATTACTGTCATCGCACTTTTCTCTATCATCGCACTTTACCAAATAGAGAAAACTGGAAATGTAACACTCTCTGTTAAATAAGACATTTTATTTGTATGGGGTAATTAATTGTTTAATTATTAGCTAATTTATCTATTTAATTTTTTAATTTAATTATCTGAAATAAATGTTGTTGACCATAAGTAAGATTACTATGTTACAAAATTCACTATTTAAAGCTTAACTTGGTAAAAAACAAATATTCTCTTTAATATCGCACTAAAGCTTGAAAAATAAATGAACTTCATTCAATGCACGGTGTTTTAAATGCTGTTAGAATATTTTTTATGCTTAGAATTAGTTTTTTCGCAAAAACCTACGCTCATTCGCACAAGTTTGTGTGATAATGAACAGTAAATAAAATTATATTTGCCTCTAGATTTAGAAAAAAGTGGCGTGCACTACTTGCGAAAACCGCATATTCCTTTTTTATACTGAAGACCCTTCTCAAATCTATACGCACAAAACCTGTATTGCTTTAAATGTTCGAGTCCACTAGATACTTCTATAGAAAAACAACTTCTCTTTTATTGTGCTAATTTAGGTTGACAGATATAAATTGTCAATGTACTTCATTGTGCTTCAAATGTATCTAGTTGACTCGTACCTGGTAACTGACAATTTTAAAATTGCAAAAAATCAGCAGTAAAAATTAAATTACTAATTAGAATACATCGAATTAAATTGTACTAGTCATTTAGATATCAAACTATTCATTCTAGCTTTGTGAAGAACATAGACAACTCAATAAAATAACTGATCTTAGTGGAGTATTTGTTAAATTCTAACTGTTCATTTCAGCTTTGTGCAGAGCTTAAACAACTCAATAAAATACCTGATCTTGGTGGAGTATTTGTTAACATCGCTGAATATAGCTGCAGTCTCAATTCAGATGATATTAGTAAGCGCTTTTTCCATTATTTATTATTAATTAGAAAACAATTAAATTGTGTTTAGTTGAATGTACCGTAATTTTCCTTATTGTTAGAAAGTTACATGTATTTCTGGCTGAAGTTTTTCAACGCGTTTTTTAATATATACTTAGAGACCTTGGTAAATTTTGACTACGACGCAAACGATTTTGTGGCTTCGAACGCAACCTAACAAAATTTTATAATAGATTCTGAGGAGTTGTTTGGCAGTTTCACTGGATATGAAAATATCTTCTTGTTTTAATCAGACAACGAATGTTTCACACATCTGCCTGAAAATTTAGTATGTTGGCTTTGACTTCCTGAATAAAAATTCTCAGGACCGAAATCCCATGACTGGATTTTACCGTATACAGGGTGAAGGGAAAGTTTGTCTTTATCGCAATATAGATGACGTGACCTAGTGCTATTAAGTAGGTTGTTTATGAAAAAAGAATTTCCTTGTACAAAAATTTTATCTGCGTTTTCGTTTCCAATATACAGGTAGTCAAAGTTTAAAAAAGCATTTTTCTTAATTTCTAAAATTAAAACAGCTGAACTATTTTGATTTGATTTAGCAGTGTCAATGTTTATACAACTCGAAGGCAAATAATAAACAGTGACCTAGTTATACGAAGAAAAATCTTGTTTTTAAATACAATTTTTGTGCTTCGCTGGCTTAATTTTAACACGCAGATTGGTTGCAATAAAAAACTAACAAAAACAAAATTTTGAAGCATTTTGACGGAATCAAATTTTCTATTAGTTTTGTGCGGGTGTTTTGTAATGTACTTATAAAGAAAATGAAGAAGATAATTTGAAATAATCTATTTTGTCAAGTTATTAAAAAAATGAAATAAAGAGGCAAAGTGCCAAAAAATTTCACAAACGATGTTGCCAATTAATTGTGGTTTTCTTACTTTTAGTTTAAATCCACGAGAGCGTCGGCGATGTTTTTTCTAAGCTATTTGTTTTCGCAAATTTTCATCTTGGGTTGGAGTGCAAGTGAAATCAAGATGCAGGTAAAAGTGTAAACATGAACACGCTGAACTGTCAATGAGAACAAGAAATAAATGTTTCGTTTTGGTTCGGTGAGGTAGTTTATTTTTCTACTACGATATTGTCTAACTTAAATTGTCTTTTTTTTTAACTTATACATTTCATCTTAAATAGATTTGTGTATTTAGCGCCGATTAAACTTTTTCTATTTTAATAATCTTTGTTAACACACTTTTAGATTTTATAAAAGATAATGTTACATTTACTCTATAGTTATATATTTTTGTGAAACTGGTGAATTAAAATTCATATTTTATAGTTATTTATTTTTCATAACTTTTTGTTTTATAAAACCTTGCCCTACATGTTCTTTTATTTACGTAAATTAATATAAAGTTGAGGTCCTTTGTTGTACATACTATCACTGTCAAAAAACACTTACGAGCGCAGGAAATTGCTGAAGAAAATAATTTTCCATGTATATATTTAGTAGACAGTAGGGGTGCCAATTTGCCACATAAATCAGAAGTTTTTCCTATTATCAAGTATAGAACAATTCTGAAGAGATTCATGCTCTTTTCGCTTTGTTGGCCGTTTCCGATCGTTAATGTTTTGCAAATTCTCGAAGCTTCCTCTTGTGATGAATATAGGCCTGTGATCTCCTTTCCAAGTCAGTTCTTTTATTGATGTGAATAAATTAAGCGATCTTTAAATGTAAGAATAGAAAAATATCTAGTTTTTATCCATCCTCCTATGGTTTTTATACTTTCTTATTCAGTAATCATATCAATGTCGTTACCTATTTAGCGACTTGTTTAATAGAGTCTGGGTATAGCGGATGCCATATACGACGGCGGATGGTACGACCAAAATGACGCAGTAAAGAAAACGGTCTTGTTTATTGTTATGCGTTCCCACCGACCTCTTCAGCTGACGATCGGTCCATTTGACGCTATGTCTACGGAAACGGCCCTGACTGTAAGCATTATAGCATTCTTAGTTTTCTATTTACCCTAAATGTGTTTTTCTTTCTTGTTTTACAGATACTGAAAGCGTCTTATTCATACATTACACTGATGAGGACTAAGTACATTTAATCAAAGATTAGTTCCATTGTCTATGAGATAAAATTGCAAATTTAATTTTAAAAATTGATTTGTGCTGACCGGTGTAAATATATCACTTAAATATATGTCATTAATAAATTTTTAGGCAAAAACGAATATTTAAGTTAATATGTCTTTATTGTTTTGTTTATTCATCCCCATCTTCACTTTCTCGGAAAGATTTATTTTTTTCCATAAAACAAAACACGCTGGATTCAATGTATCTCAATCAAGACCATTTTTTACTTTTTCGATAAGTTAACCGAGCTAGAAATGGTATTGAAAAATACGAAATTATCCAAATTACCCTGTGTCTCAAAGTTTAAGCTATTTATGATATGAGATAAAAACATCAAACTATACAGAGGGAACAGTGAACATGCTAGTATGGGCCGCCGTGATAGAAAAGTAAGGCAAATAGAAAAACACGACTAACATTTTTGCTTTGTCTTTTTTATTTCTAACACACGAGTTTCTTTAGGCGCAACAGGAGCGGAGGAGTGTCTAAAGAAGTTTATAAATGTGATGCATAGTACAAAACAGCACAAATATATTCACTAAGCGACGTTTGACGTGTCCATCAGAATTCTTCTTCTTATAGTGTGCCAAATGGGTTAATGCATGGGCGTTCATCATATATCATCAAATTTCTCTATTTATAGCTGAATGCTGCAATTCTCTCTGATTCCTGTCCCCTGACTAATGTTTCTAACCCAGGACAGTTTCTTCCATCAGAATTGACCAACCTCAAAATACCATCAGTGTTTAAAACTCGCCACCGGAAACGCCCGAAGCGGCATGTTTCGCTTAACAGTGTTTAGTGAAGCTGAGCCACCTATGTATTTTAGAGTAAGTAGTAGAAGTAAAAACATTTCCTACAAATATTTTAAACAAATATATTTGCTTGTTATCGCGATCTCAGCGCCTCAAAAGTATTTAGCTATTTCACCCAAACAAAGTTCAAAATCGTCGATATTTAACAACTTGTTTAACGATATCCACCTATTTTATGGAATATAAATATTGGATGTGAATAAGTAAACAAAAGCTACTCTTAGAGATTTATTTGTGACGATTTCTCTGATATCTGAGTAGAATTGCGGAATAAAGAGGTATGGAATATCATTCCACCCCCTTTATTTTCATAATTACAAAGCTGGACAGAAAATTGCAGCATGTCGCACACGCAAAACGCTTTAGACCTGTAATAATATCTTCAAACAGAGGATATTTGCACTGTGTTATAATATAAAGTTTTCGTTCAGATAAGATTTTCGCAGTTTGAGCTCTACTATCGAAGAACGTATGACTATTTATATACCTAGAAGAGATTACATTCAAAAACATGGTAAATTATATGGACCAATAATCAGTATCATCAACTCGTGCAATGCAACGGTGGAAACGGAATCAGGGTATTCTCAACTTTCCGAAATATTGCATGATAGCCATGGGAATGTGGAGATTAAATCTACCAACTCGAAATCGTATACTGACGAAGCTTTATACCCTCTACTCGTGTTTGATACAGATTTATTATCCAGTATTTTGGATTTCGCTTTTCATCAAGTTTGTCATAGTATTGTTAGATAAAAATTCAAACAAGAGCCTGGAGGAATGGTTCAAAGATCTTTCCTATGTGGTCGGTTTGTTCATCATAGTAATTGCCGCGCAATTCTGGCAGAAACGAAATGTCGTACGAAGTATTTATTACGTCATTGAAGAGGAAAAAGTTTTGCTGGAATGTCGAGATGAAGAATTGCTGAAGTGCCATTTCGAATTGGCACAATTTAGTCGGTTAACGAACTACGTGTTGTTTTCGTTTGCGTTGTGTATCGGGATGTCGGTTATGTCTGAAACTTTTTTGCGCAAAGCAAAAATAGAGAAATACAACCAAAGATACAACGCAACTTTGGAAAAACCATTCGCCTTCGATTTATTCTTCGTAATCAATTTTGACAAGGAAAAGTTTTGCATTTTGTTACTGATAGTCGACGGAGTGTCTTGCTTTTTGAGTGACCTTATCGGAGTTTCTTCGAAAATTATGTTCATTTCCTGCATCATTTTCGCTTGTTCAACGCTACAAAGGTTGCAGTTGAAGTTTAGGAAAATGGCACGATATGGAACAGATTTTTTGATCACCTTGTATCATCTTATTGAGGAACATCAGAAAATTATTAGGTATAATGAAGCTATGTGTAGCTGGTTGGGCTCGATTGCTTAATAAAAAAGGAACAAAGAAACTAAAATTTAAAGACAATTGATCCAATTTAAGCCAAATTTCAGTGTTTTCCCAATTTTTTTTCCGAGAACGTTTACTTTTGCATATAAAATAGGTTTTAACAATTTGGTCTAATTATAAATTTTGATATTACATTCTTTCATTAAATTTAATTGGGAATGGAAAAGTGGTATTCGTGCTTTATAAAATTTGTAAAGTTTTGATTGAATATGTATATGTAATCTATTTCAGTGTTTAAAATAAATTTAAGATTTCATATTTTTAACATTATATCTTAGCAAACTGTTGAAAAAGTTGTATTGTATTGTATCTTGAATCACTGATTATAATTTAATGCCAACGCTTCATTTCTGATCCGACTTGTCATTAATTAAAGTTAAATCTAATCTACATTAGCATGTAGTAACTCATCAAATTACAGAGAAAATAATTATTTTTTCCATAGGAAATATATTTTTATGTTTATTAGCTTCCCTGAACCTTATTTCCGTTATAGATTTGTACACAACTTCAACCGCTCAATGAAATATCTGATTTTGGTGGAGTATCTGCTAACTTCGCTGAATATAGCTGCAGTCTCTATTCAGATGATATTGGTAAGCCCCTTTTTTGCAATAATACCTATACCTAAATAAATCAAACCCTCCAAATTTGCTTTTTTTTTTCTAGGAAGCAATAATTAATAATAATAATAATTTAATGGAATATTTTATAATAGAATTAATATCTTGCCGTCGTAATATATTTAATTTAAAAATAATTTTTTAAGTTAGTTTTAGTTAGTTTAAGTTTAAGTTAAGTTTTAAGTTAATTTAAGTTAGTTTCCCATGTTTTTAATTTTCTTTGGGTTTTCAATTTTCAGTTTAACTCCACAAGAGCGTCTGCGACGTTTTTTCTTAGCTATTTGTTTTCGCAAATTTTCATCCTCGGTTGGAGCGCAAATGAAATCAAAATGCAGGTAAAAAATAAAATCTTTTAATAGTCTATACATATTTAAAGCGAAATGCCTAATTACAAGCTCAAAGTTAATGACATTCCTAGCTGGTTTCGGATGGTAAAATAAAAATTGCACAAAGAGAATCAGGCTTCAATCTTTCGAATATAAAACTCCGCTTTTATGACATAGACAATTGTTGTGTAGGTTGAATACTTACGTACTCAAATATCTTCTCCTAATAAACCATAGTATTTCTAGTATTTTTATTATTAATGCTGACTGAAAATGAGTTTCCTATTTCCTGCAGACTCTAGGAATGCAAAGTACCGTGAATTGAGAATCCTCCTTATTTGATATCATGACGTTTATAAATATGCATTTAGTGTCTAATATTCTGATTCCAGTATCTTTTTTTTGTTTGATAGAGTTTGGCCATATCGGATGCCATATACGACAGTCCCTGGTACTATCAAAATGGCAATGCCAAGAAAGCGGTGTTGCTTATAATTATGCGTGCCCAAAGGCCGCTTCAGTTGACCATTGGTCCATTTGACGCCATGTCTACGGAAACTGCAGTTACGGTAGGCATTATTGCATTAAATCATTGTTTCTTATGACATATCAAGTCCACGTTGAACAGTCGATACTAAGATTTATACAATTGGAAAATGTTTAAAGCAGAATTTTCGAAGTATAACTTCAGTGAGTAAATTAAATTTAAATTACTTTGTGTATAAAATATTTTCCTCATTATAATAACTTTTTTAACAACGAGAGAAAAAAATTAAAATTGATTTGGTTTAAACGTGACCTTTTTTCAATTACGATTTTGTTTTCTATGTTTTTTTTGCAGGTCGTGAAAGGCTCTTATTCGTACGTAACACTGATGTGGACTAAATACGTTTAATCGAAACACATCCTTGTCTGGATTAAGCGTATCAAAATTAGCGAATTTGCTTGTTGTTTTCAAAATTTCAATTGAAATATATTGATATTTGATATTTTTCTACTCCCGTCTCTAAAATACTTAACTACGCACCGATCAAGCGTGCAGGAAGCGCCACTTCCGTTTCGTTTCCCACGGATCGGAGCCACTTCGGACATTCATTGAAATGACTGTATTCATGTTGTTTTGCGCAAATGTACCCAAAAACTAACGGTCGTAGAAAAAGTATAGTATGCAACACGTTCGGTAAACTTTTCATGTCACTCGTTTATTAAACGCTCGCTCTATAAAATGCCTAATTTCACACCGATCTAGCGTGCGGGAAGCCTCACTTTAAAATGTAGGTTTCGTTTCCCATGGATCCGAGTCACTTCGGACATTTGCGGGACATTACCGCACGGGTTTGGGAGCAATCGAATTTTTTCGGAGATATCACCCCACGGATTGAATTTCGACGTTTGTCAATTCTGACGGTCATGTCAGTAAATGTATTCGTGTTGTTTTGCAAAAACGTACATAAAAACTAACGGTCATAGAAAAAGTATAATACGCAACACGTTTGGGAAACTTTTTAAGTCACTCGTTTATTAATCCCTCGCTGTTGCGCTCTGCTCGTGGCTCAAATACCGTCTAAGACATTTGTATACACACTACAACGCTTCAAAATAAAAAAAAAAGTTGAAAATGTATAACTTTTTATGCACAGTTTTGGACGAAAATATCGACGGGTGGTTAATGAATTTTAATATGATTTCTTCTATTTGAAGGCTAAAAATATCAAGTTTAAGTTAGAATAAAAAAGATAAAAAAAATCGACCCTTGTATACGGCACTCACAGAAAACCCGCAAGTCTAATACATACAATACAAGGAAACCGACTAAATAGAATTTCTCTTCAAAACTGTAAAAAATGTATATGTATAATATGTGTATGTATTAGGGTGCTTAATTTTTAGGCGATATTTTTTCTCTGTGCTACCTGAAAATCTGATAAAAATAAAAAATAAAAAAAAATTAAAAATTCGTTTTCTTTAAATTTAAATTTAAATAACACAAAAAATTTTTTTTTTCGGTTTTCACCTGATTTTTCGACGTGAAGAAATTTTTTTTGGGAAAAACGCGTGTATAGCTTTTGTAGAGCATAAAATTTGCTACAAAAAGTTCCTATGCGTACATTCTCCCCGACCAACAGCTTTTAAGTTTTAGAGCTGTGAAAATAAATGTTCATTATAATTGATATCAAATCATTTCTAAATTTTTACATTATATAGCAATTAATTATAAACAAAAGAACGCTTTAATTGAGTTATTATGTGATTGAAGTTTCTAATTTCCAAAATTAAAATTCAATTATTAAACAAATATTGATTATAATTAAATAATAACTAATTATAGACATTTAGAAACTATTTATGTTTGTAATCCAGTGACCACTCTAAAATTTAGTGAACGAATATAAATTTTAATTAATACATAATGATATGTAGAAGTGTAATTTTTTATTTCATTTTGGAGTTTCTGTTGACATTAAAGTTTTTTTATTAGCATTAGGAAATTGCTTCCTATGCATTGCCACAACTTGTAATAAGTATTGTTTTTGTTCTTCATTGTGAATTCACGACGTGTAAACTTCTCAAAACTTTTAAACACTTATTATAATCTTTATCAGATTTCAACTCATAGGGATGTAATTTTAAATAAAACTATTGACTGTTTTGACAAATTTTTTGTCATGAAAGAACTAATCTTGATATTTTTAACATTGACGCGTTTGAAACTTGTAAATTTGTTATTTTTTTTGATTAATTGATTCTATGATTTTTATTTTTATTTCTGAGCTGACTTCATCATCGAAAAATGATAAACAAATAAGTTCTTCAGATACATACCAGAGATTAGTATTGAACATTTTCGAAGCTGCTGCAGAAATATTTTTATTAATTGTGTTATATTGCAACAAAATTCCAAATCTTGTCGCCGAGCTTGAATTGGCACTGGTGCACCGTACCACGCCTTTATATACAATAACGTTATAAAAATCCAAATGTGACAAAGTGCTTAATTTTCTTCGCTGTTAAGTGAAAAGCCATCGCGCATGATGTGTCCCAGGAGCTTGGAAAGTGCTATTTCCTGTAAAACGATTTCCCAAAAACACTGATGCCAATTCGAGTAACTCACGATAGTCATCATGTAGTTGAACTTCCTAGAGGAAAATATATTTTTTTTCAAGTACCTGCAATTGATGAGAAATAAAGAGTAGCATACAATCTTTTTTGTCATTTATAACTGGAGCTACCAAAGGATCATCCAAGCCTGTTTTATAATCATTTTTGCTTATTTCTGGCCATTTCTGTTGAAACTCATTTAATTTTGGTAGTTTGGGACATGAAGTTACTGGCCAATCTATTTTAAAAACACAACGTAGAACCAGTTCATAAACAAGGTGCCTGCAGGCTAAATTCAAAAAAGTTCTCCCAATTTTCTTTTCAATAAGACTACAAACACCACTTTTGATACCTATCAGAATTAGAACGTTTTACATAAAGATGAATAGTATACCAGTATGGGCACTAGTAGTGTCAAAACATAACGCTCCAACTTTATCAGTTAAATTCCATTCCTGCACCAATTTAAATATCACCTTAGTCTGATTAAAACCATTTGACTTCATTTATTTCGGAACTCCTAACAACTGGTCACAATTCAGACCCGTAATAATGACTGGTAATCTTTCAACTTTTAAAGAGCCAGTAATTTCTTTAAATTTTCTTCAAATTTTTTCCAAACCTCTTTTTATTATTTTTTTTATTAATTTATTAATTTTAATTCTCTGCCTACGAACTGTACTTGGACAAATATTAACAGTTTCAAGAGGAACACCGTAGCTTTCTAGAGTAGCTGAGATAATAACTGCTGCATCTCTATCTCACACATTCGTACGATCCAGCGCAAATGTTACCTCAGGTGTACAAATATTTCGTTTCTGAGGTGTTGATCTTGTAGGAAGTTCATCTTCGAAATTCGATGGCATTCGTTTCAAAGAATGTGAACTCAGAGTGCGGGATTCAAATTCAAAGTCACATCAAATTACCTTCAACTGATTCTTCAGAGTCAGAATACGTTTCTTCTACGTCAAATGGTATAATACCTCTGCGCAGCAATATCAAATAGTTTTCCCTAACTTTTTGAGCAACTGATTTAGTACATAATGAATTTTTTAAAATTTTATTCCATTAATTATATGAATTTCGTAACTTTTCATCTTACATCAGTGGGATTTTCGATTTTCTCCAAATATTATTTATTTCATTGATAACAATTTTGAAACCTTGATTCAGTGGTTTACCAAGAGATTTATAATTTTACATCAATAAACTTAACTTTAATTTAGAACACATCTTACTAAAACATAAGGAACAATTTAGTAAATGCTACATTTCCAAAATAATTCGTTGCGAACATTTAAATTCAGAAGAAAAATCTGCTATTAAACAGTGTGTAAAATATCGAAATTGTCGTTAAAATTGTGTTTTTCTAAATTTAAATGTATAGCTTAATTAGAATCTGAACTATTGTTTTTAAATGATCGTCGATGTTCGTTGATACGTTTTTTGAAAGATCTACCTGTTTGTCCAATATAAATCTTAGAACATGATCCGCAATTTAATCTATAGACTCCAGAATTCTGGGATCTATTAGATTTAGATTTATTGTTTTTAACAAATTTTCCTAGGGTGTTATTAGTTTTAAAAGCAAAACGATAGACGACCGCTATCCATTGCCTAATATGAATGATATACTCCACAAATTGGGACGGTGTACTTATTTTTCAACTATAAATTTTTCATCTGGTTAGTGCGACACGCTAGACTACAAATTCCACTAGATAAAACGGAATTTTTGGGTCACATAATAACAAAAAACGTAATTAAACTAAATCCCAAGAAAATTATTGCAATCCAGAAATTTCCGGCACCGAAAACGATTTTTGTAAAAATATCTTGTGCAATGATCCAATACTTCAATATCCAGATTTCGAAAAACCTTTTATGTTGATAACGGACGCCTCTATAGGAGCGATTCTCAGCCAAGAAAAAATTGGTAGTGATCTCCCCATAGCCTGCTTCTAGAACACTGAACCCAGCTGAAAGCAATTACTCAACCATAGAGAAAGTAATCGTCTAGTCAACAAAATATTTCGGACCATATTTATTTGGCCAAAAATTTGTAATAGTTACCCATCACAAACCTCTACAATACTTGCTTAATATGAAAGACCCAAATTCGAGATTGCTAAGATGACGACTAAAACTGGAAGAGTTTGATTAAACAGTTCATTATAAGAAAGGAAAATAGAACACCAACACTGATGCGCTGTCACGCATCGAACTAAATAGGTATGATAGATAAGGAGTCACTTTTCGGAAATCCTGGAGATATTAATGAAGACATACATACATAATAAATAAATAAATACATACATGAAGAAGATCAAATTATGAGCATTGAACAACTGCAACAAATTGAAGACGTGTTTAACCCTCGAGAAAATGTAAACACTTCAAAAATTAATATCATCTGGGACATTCAAATTAGACCGCCAAATATTCCTGATACTAACAACACAGTACACTATTTTAAATATACCAATTACCGAAAATATTTTAAATACTTATTCTAATCAAACAACATTTAACCAAAAAACAAACGGTCGTTATCACATGATTAGGAATTACCCATTTCAAAATAAATCTAGATTTTCTGTTTATTTAAGTAAAAACAATCAAAATGAAATAATTAAATTCCTTTTGGATTATTTGGATCCAACAAAAATGTACTGCCTTAATGTACAAAGCCCTGAAATAGATATAATTCTAGAACTATCTGTTTTGACTATCTACACCGGGCGACACAAGAAAGTGGGAACACTATATAACTTTTTAACGGCTTGAGATAGCGATTTGAAATTTGATAGCGTTAATATAGGCTGAATGTTCAAGTTTTTAGCAATATGTAGACAATGATTGCACCTCCGGTTTGTTTTTTGCATTTTTGGATTCATTAATTCATTAGATGTAGGATAGGACGGCTTTT